CCTGGTGAGCTGTGCTTCCTGGCAGGGCCAGTAGCATTCCACATCCTGCCTGTGGGGTGCAGCACAGTCAAATAGACCCAGCTACAGAACCAGGGTAACTTCCCTTAATTTCTTTTTTACCCTCAGTAGCACCTACTGAAGGCTGCCCTGCTCCTATAGATGGGACTTCTCTTTCTATGTCCCTTCTGGTGTGTCTTTCCTGCCTGTCTAGGTTTGGCTTGTCATGAAGGACTCTGCTGTGCTTCCCCAAACAAACTTGACTCTTAGTTCTAATTTTCCCCCTCATTTTGTGCACCTAAACCAATGGGGTTTTTTTCAATCTAATTAGCAGAAAAGAAAGTGTATAAAAAATACTATTTTTTTCCTCACCAAGAATCCCCTCACTATGACCTTGTTACACCTTACATAAATACTGATGTCACTGTTGATCATCAGCCAGGCTTTCAGCTAACACGGGGAGGAAAAAAGATTCTTTTCCACATGCTCAGGCCTTAATTTTTCACAGTCACCTTCTGATTTCATCACCCCTCCAGTACAGGCACATACAAGTGTGTATACACACATATGTATGCATGTCCACAAACAGGGACTACAGCATCAGAAAACCAGTTCAGTTTTTGTAGTGGCAGCACAAGCCTGATATAAGTTCCTGCAACATTTCTGGGAGAGGTCCTGCTGTGGAGATTAATTCCCTCCATAGTTTAAAGAGTGAGGACAACTCACACACTTTTTTAATAACCTGGGCAGCACCTAACATAGTCCTCCCTCTGTGTTTGCTATCTGACTGAAGCAGTTGTAGAGAATTAAATTTTACTTTACAACTCTGGTCAAAAGCAGATCCAGCTGCTATGCAGCAGGAACATATTAAGCATTATCAGCAAATTCTTACTTTTGCAATGGAGAGCAGGAAAAATGAGGAGGTCTCTGAAATCCTGTTGTGAATGATGACGGCTAGGGTAGTATTCAAAGAACAACACTATAAGTAATGCAACAGCTAAGGTTCAACCTGCCAAAACCAAAACAATCCAATTATCTGCTGTTGTCTAAGCCCTCCCGTCTGGACTTCATGCAGCTCAGATGGGTTAAAAACAAGAATATCCATTCCCCCTGAGGAATGTGCCTTGCAAAACACCCATGTAGTGTTGTGCACCTGGCCACAAACACCTGTTGGTGGTGAGGAGGTCCCTGGCTGGCAAACTGGGGCAAAGTCCTAACTGCCTAAGGGCTGGGTTCAGAGGGGATGGGGTGTTTGGGACCCTCCCTGGGATACTTCCAGTTTCACAGACAGGCTTAAGTAGAGACAACCTGACCCAAATACTCAGTTGACTTCCTCAACACTCAGCAAGAAAATCTAGCGCAAATGACAGCTTCAAGGGCTCCTCTGGGTGAGCTCCTCCGAGTGCTGTCTGTGCTGTCAAGTCCCCAAGCTGTGCTTCTGGCAAACACAAACTAGTGTTTTCAGACTTAAAAAGACTTGGGGGTCTTTAACAGGGGCCTGCGCCTGGCCCAGGCTTAGAGGATGGAAGGGGAAACCACAACAGTGGTTTCAGGGAGGGCATTTGAGGAAGACCACCAGGCACACAGCAGTCCCTGACCCCCAAGTGCCTACTCAGCTGGGGCTGTGTAGAGTCCAGGTTGTGGTCTGCTGCCAAACATGCCCCACTCCTGCTGTCTTTGCCTTAACAACTGCAGGGAGAGCAGGAGGCTGCTGCTAGAAAAGGAAAAGGGAAGCAGGTGCTTATAGAAATACTAAAGGTTGGAAATAGGTCCCACCAGCCAGAGCAGCCTACACGGCCAGGAACAAACCACACCACTCTGCACCTATGCATAGGGCCCTCTTCCAAGTTTCAGGTTTGTCCCAAGCAGCTCTATTCTCTCCAGCCCAATTCATACACAACCACCCAAGCAGTTGTCCCAGGCAGGGGGAAGGGAAGTTTGTGAGGAGTGCAGTGGTGAAGAGGAGGAGTTTCTTCAGCTGCCACTGAAGTGGTTATGGAGGAACAGCCTCAGGCAATGTTACTAAAGCAGCTGGACAGACAGGATAGGATTCACCAGCCAGGGAAGGAGGGCATCCTGGCTCCCATGCCTGTCCTTTCCCTTCTCATGCCTCAACAACCACCAATGCCTTCGCAGGCAGGCAGTGATTTGGGTCAGTGCACAGTCCCTGAACAATTTAATCCTGGAAAACAGTAATTAGCTCCTGGTGGTTGGGCAAGCAGGAATGAATTTCCCTGCAGTCAAAACTGCTGTGATGCAACCAACAACCTACAGTGTGGGACCTGCAGCTGGGGGAGGAAAGGTGGGAACATGCAGAAGGCCCTAGATTGGCTTACAACAATTTCATAAGCAATCATTAGAGATTGTAACCCCAGGGCTTTAAGCCAGGAATACAATATGCCAAAAATTATGGAAGCATCTGAACACCTTCCTGCTGGGCATTCTGCAAACTATGTTTTCCTTGGCTCCTCCCCAGGATAAATGCCTGTGTGACAGAGCATCTTATTCCATGGATCATTTCCCATGCAGACACATTTGTGCTACTTTTTTAAAAACTCTTCAACTTGAGTAAGGCAAGATAAGTTCAAAGAAATTCCTGGATCTGGTCAGCTCCTACTATGATGTCAACTCCCTCTTTGTAAAAGTAGGTAATTACTGTAAGAAAAGCAAAGTGTTTTACATTTAAGTTGATATAGGCAGCATCAGCCAATGTCTTCCTGGCAGAAAATTGTGCTCCTTTGGACTAACACACATGTGATTCCATAGTGTGGCCACTGAATATTGTCTTTGCTCCTTGTAAATGCCATAATATCTGTATTATTATCCCACAGGGAGCAAAAAGTTCTCCCAAAACAGAAGGCAGATCCAACACCAGCTACTGTTGTTGATGGAGCATGTGCAACCACCATGAGTGCTAGAACATTTGAATAGTGACAAGTGAGAACAAAACAAATATGACATTTTACAGGAAATTTAAAGCAGCGATGGTGCTTTAAAAAAACAAGGAAGCCCAGACTCCACTTACTGCTCCAGTGGTTAATAAAAATCTTCAATAAAAGCACAAAGGGAGTCACTAGAAGTAATACTTGTCAATTATTCCTTTGATAACCATCTGGGAAGTTTCATTTCACTGAGACTTATAATTGTGTTCAACCTCAGGCAAAGTATCTCCCCAGATAAGACAGCACTGACCCCTTATTAAGGGGCTTCCGGGACAGAACAGTTGAGATGCTCCTTTAACAACAAATGGGATTAGGGGGAGAAGTTTCTGTTAGCTGACAAATTTGATATACTTAAAAAAAAAAAAAAAAAAAAAAAAAAAGAAATATTACGAACCACAGCAAATTAAGGAAAAGTAAAGGCTATGCTTTTTTGGTTACTTCCCAGATGTCTTTAAATACTGAAGAGCAATTTAGCAATTTTGTGCTAGGTTCAATCTTTTCTCAGAGCAGGCACTGCTAGGAGATGTGATCTCCCTCCTCACCCTTCCCTTACATCTGATCCAGCACTCACACAGGCAAAAGCTGAGCTTGAGATTACAGTTCAGAAGGACACACTAGATGAGAAAACAAAAATAATTAGCCTTTCAGTGTCTTGGCAAATGAAGAAATCTATTGTAAAACTTTACAACCCCTAAATTCTGTGCAAGGGAATTGGTGAAACAGCTTCTAGTGGAAGCAGCCCCCAGTTAACCTAAAAAAAGCACAACACAAAACTGTACTCTGGCAATTTTGCTTATTTTCAGGTGATGACTGTCTCTTACAGAACCACTGTGTTTGCTACTTATGTAGCTACTGTTTATCTAAACTGTACTTCCCACAGGCCAAGGCTGTTAAAGAGATTCACTCCACAACAAACCAACTTGAAAATTTAAGTTCCTTTGCATCATTCCCACTTTGACATGTTATTAACTTCAGAGTGCAGCTGGATGAACCTTTCTCCAGCAACACTGGCTTAGGAGGAGTTTTACTCTCCTCCAGCCCCATGGCTGCATCCTTGGTTGTTCCAATATATCAGACAGCCACACACCCACCTGTCCCAACTCCCATGCTACAGCAGATTGCACAAGATTGCATCCAAGTGGGTTTTGAATATTTCCAGAGAAGGAGACTCCCCTGCCTCACTGGGCAGCCTGTTCCAGTGTTTACACTTTCACTGTTGTCATTTCCCGTCCCCCACTCCCATTACTCAAACTACTGTTTAGGACATCCTGAAACCTAAAAGAATTTCAAAGGTGAAGTATAGCAAACTAAAACTAATTTTTGTTTTGCTGTCATGATTTTATCTGTCTTGAAGCAGTGCTTTGCCTATAAAAAAAAGAATACAAACACAAACAACATTAAGTGTATTACAGTAATACTGAAGATAAGAGAAACAAAACTGATGCATACAACTTCATTCCTTGATTCCAAAAAGTCTCATCCCAGTATCACGCCATAACAGCTTGAGTAGACCAGAAGATTTTAAGGTTTCAATTGTCATATTGAAGATAATTATTAGTTAATAATATGTCACAGAAAATATTAAGAGGCAAGCAAAATTATTCAAGTACGTTGCAATGAGAAACCCAGCATTGCAAGGTACAGCTCCACAGTTCCCTAATGAAGGAAAGCATGGTGGAGTGTTGAGTTGTTCTCAGTTTAAGGGAAAAGACTTCTCTAAGCCCTTTTGTGAATTTCATTAGTTGAAGGCAGGGGGAATACAGCAAGGTTGCAGTGGTGCTGCTTGTTCTATTTCATGTTAAAAGGGTATCTGGCCTGCTGCAGGGCAAGAAAGAGACTGCAGGCTGTGAAATCCCTCCTGTTTAGTGCTGGTAAATCTGTCTGGTTGAACCCCTCTTGCTTTGCAGCAAGAATACTTTGTACCTTTCCAAGGCCATGAAATGCCAGAACCAGCACTCACCCCACCAGGTTTTAATCTACACAAAAGCTGGAAGCAGGTGTGGCCCTCGCTCTTTGAAGAAGATGGGTAGAACAAGTAAGTGTTCTTATAGCAGACACCAAGCATTTGAAACAAATTTATTTAGTATCCAAAAATGTAAATTAAGCTCACAGACTGACACACTAATACTTACATAATTTTAAACGGAAACTAGCATTTTCAATGACTGCTCATGTCAAAGCTAGTAGAAAATTACCTTCTCCAATTAATTTGATGTACGCTTATCCTGGAAAATGAATGTAATAGCAGGGAAAAGGCACCTTTACTTGTTAAGTTTTAACCAGGACAAGTCTAAGCAAATGAAGAAATACTTGTGGGGCTCTCTAGATGTTTGCATATCCTGAAGACTTAAAAAAAATGTGGAGCTGAGTTCAGAAAAACATCCACTTATCCCCATCTCCTAGGACAGTCTCTCCCTTCTCATGTGTTGCATGTCTGTCCTCACGTAAATGCAGAATTTCAGTCATCGACTGGAAGACAAATAGTAAGAACAGTCCTGGAGTCACTTAGAGGAATTGCTGACACTGGAAATTGCAAACTGGTTCCAAACAAGGATGCAAAGCTGGGTTTTCTGGTGGAAAACAATAAAAATGCTGGTAGGAAAAGAAATCCTAATTACTGTGACTACCAAAAGAGTGCCAAACAGCTCTGCAAACTTCAGCTTGGTGAGCTACTACAGGGTTATATCTGCACATTTAGAAGTGACACCAGCACTGAAGAGAATACACATGGGAGCAGCAGGAGAGGAAGCAATCAGGCCTTCCAGCAAGTTCTTCCAAGCAGCTCAAGATACATATAACTAGTAACAATTGCACATTTTCAACTGATTCACAGTAGAGCCAGAGTCACCTTCTAGGACTACAAAGAAACCAGATGCATAGCACCTGATTGTCACCCTGTTTGTCACCTGATACTATGTAGATACATAAAGAAAGAAGCTGCATGGGGAATGCCTGTCCGCTAGAGAGGTAACAGTCAGTCTGATGCAGGAATGTGTCAGATACATCTTATCACTGCAGAAAGAACTAAAAGCACAGAACTGCTTTAAACAGTAAAGCAGGACTTAACTCTTTCAATACAAAATTTTACTTGCTTCTGTTGAAGATACCAAATACTGTTGAAGTACTAGACTTCAGTCTCAAGCCCTGAAAGGATGTAGAGTCACCAGAATAGCCAGATATATCCACTTTTTAAAACAATATACTGGACTTCCTTTTATTACAACCTAACTGCACTCTACAGCCTACTGCAAATGCAATCCTACACAACAAACAACTGAAGTACCACCTTGTACATGGACCTTCATTCCTCTTTGAAGTGCAATATATTTAAAACCCCTCAATAAATTTTGACAATAATGTCAATAAAAAAATTAAGCACAAGCTGTTTGTTCAAACAAGTTTGTCCATGTCACAGATAAAGAATTTTTCTCCATTAAAAAAAAGCCTTTTCTCAGTATGACTCCTTCTTCCCACAAGTATTTCCTTTTGCTTTTTGAACTTGTGATGATTTGGTGTTAAGATCAACGAATGCGAAAGTTTCAACATGGTCTTCAGTTTCATTTCAGATGTTTGTCTTGAAAACTCCATGATATCCTCTGAAAATATACCCAGATGTGTTCATGAGTTTATTTAAATCATATTTTGAATTAGCAAGACAGAAACATTGAAACCTTGTCTTTTTTATCTTGACAACAAAAAACGAAGGGTCAGGTAAAGTAAGATTACTCAAATGTATTCTAACTTCCAAGTATAGTAATTTTTTTATCAGTCTCGCTCTGGCTTGTTGTTCCTTACATGTTCCTTGTACCTCCTATTTAAATAATCTTTATAGACCCTAAATGTAACAGATAATCAACAAGCATAATATATATTACATTGAATCAGGAATATGTACACTTTGATAAAGTTTTTATTACAACTTCTTTATATTCAAACTGATTGTGCTCTTTATAAAACTATAATTGAATTGTTCTAAGATTACTTATTATAGTTTTAATTTAAAGTATTTTGTCTTTACCAAAACAAGTGTGAAATCAATTCTCCCTTAGATATTTTTTCGCCAAATTCTTTCATTTTATTGCCTAAATTTACCCAGAAAGCATCCACTGATGCTTTGATTGCCACAAAGCAAAGTATACCTACAGATAAACCTACAGTAAAATTCTGCCTTCCTTTTTTTTTTTTTTTTTTTTTAATTTGGGAGGATTCAAACACACCATCAGCTATAATATTTGTTCTTTACAAACAGGTAGTCATATACCATGCCAAAACCCCAGTTATTTAGTCACAGAAACAAGAGCTGTTTGGATAGTTGAAGAGCAAGCAACTACATGAATTTCTAAGTGTATTAAAGCCTCTTTGTACCTCCTACAAATTAAATTACTTAATCAAATTTGTAAAGTGTAATCATACCTGTTCTCTTTGTTGCTGTAATCAGTGGTATAACTTTCATATCTTGTTGTATTTCCTGCCTTGGTCTCCATTTCCTTGGCTTTAGAAGAGTCTACCTTTTGATTATATTGGGAAAGGATCTATAGGAAACATTAAATACAAATAAAAAGAATTACCTAAGAACTCAAAACAGATGTATTACAGATAGGACTAGGCCCTTTAAATTCTAGTATTTTGATATTAAAATCAGTTGGGGAAAAAAAGCATATAAGTTAACCTTTAAAACATTATCTGGTATCCTTGTTATTTCTGGAGGTGGAGGAGTATTGAGTAAATGGTCATAGTGTTCCAGACTGGGAGGGGAAGGGTCCTTAGTATGTTTAAGATACTCATCAGAGCTTGCAGCAAAAGGAATTCTTTCTTCTTTGCACGGTGTATCTTTTGCATCGTTCTTTGTCACTGACTCAAGCTTCTCCCTTGGTGTTACCTGCTGCTGCAAAAGAAGTATTAAATGTCTTCAGTTACATTTACTTATGTTAGGTAAAATACTTAGTAAATGTTCTTACAGAATTACTATTAGAAAGAGCTTTTATAGTGACATAAGAAAAAATAATATTGGAAAAGAACCCCAAACGGGCATTTTAAAACCTGCTTTTGGCAAAGTGTGTGAAAATGTACATAATTGCTATTTGCTACCTTAGCTTCTGCTGTTAACCATCTTGTTTGAAAATCTGGACACTGTGGTGTTGCTGCATGACTGGGAAGAGGCAGTTCCTTTGTCTCTGGTGACCTTGATAATCCTGTATTATTATTTTTGGAAGAGTCCTTCACATCAGGAGTACAGAACACAAATACCATAGGAGAATCCATCCAGTCAGTTGCTGCTATCAAGGGTGAGCAGAATAAAATTAAAAATATATATGTACACACACACATATGTAACTATTACCTGTTCTAGTTTCATTTTCTAAAACATGTGCATCCTTTTAGTTGATATTTTGCTTGATCCATCCAAATTACAGTGTTTCTTAAAGGCAGTAAATGCAAAGTAGTCATTCTAGTCCCACTACTGAATACAACTGAAGAAGCCAAACTTAAATCAGCATTGCTTTACCTTCTCATTTACCCAATTGACACTATGTTTGTCTCAAGATTTAAAAAATAATCTATTTATCCTCTCAAAGAAGTTCTAGCATTACCCTTGAAAGTCTTAAATTACTCTCTTGCTATCCCCTTTCTTTCCTGTCTTGAAACAGATCCAATGGGTATTCTCAGGGAAAAAAAGGCAAAGTTGGCAAAACAGTATTTTTATTTCAAATATGGATAAGCTGCAGTTACAAAATTATGAATTCTTCTGCATAATTCAAATTGGATATGAGTACAAGAATGATAAAAAAAATTATAGGGAGTAAGAAACTTTCCCATAGAAGCCACCAACATGTTTTAGACATTACTACTCATACAATGACTTACCATGAATTAACCATATTTAACCAGAAACACAATTTAAGTTACCCACATGTTTACAATGCATTTGCACATGCATTCTTTAAAAATGCATATGTATATTAATTTCACAGATTATTAACTTACCATTTTTAGCTCTCTTACTGGATTTTGATGCAGGAGTAACCATGAATTCCTTGATTGTCATTTCTGGCAAATTCCCTCCGTTATCATCTCCTCTTTTAACCAACCTGAAAACCAAATCCCCGATTAGCTCTCAAGTATGTGAAGAAGTCACAGTTAAAGGAATATTGCCAACCTAGTCACTTTTCTAGTATTCATTATGAATATGCAAGTAAAAAATTAGTTTTCTCAAATGTTTTATATGAATGTTTAATATATGTTTAAACATTTAAATGAATGTTTTATAGATTTTTTTAATCTGTGATTCTACTGCAATTTGTGGTATGCAAATGTTCGGTCCAGCCACAAATGATCAAATACACGGATATTTCAGTCTAAGGCATTAAGAAAAAGCCAAACCCAAACCAGGTGTACAGGGTAGGACAGATGCCAGAGATTATCAATTCTGTATTAGGGGTTTCACTTTGGAACTGCCTGTAGCCTATGAAATTATATAGAACAAGAGGAACTCTTTTCTGCTTCTAAACTAATAAGGGTTTTGTGAACAGGAAAAGATTTTTTAATTGATTTTTTAAGTTTAAGTAAGATTGTTTATCTTAATAAAATACTATAGAGCTTTCAAGTAATTTTAGTAATTACGTAACTATTTAAAAGGAGAGATCCCAAAATTATTTTAAAAGAAAACTTAGTGATTTCAAAGTGACAAGCTATTTAATATCACTGGAAAGAGAAATTTAAAAAAATATTTTTTTATATCCAAGATTTTCTAGTGAAAAAATGGCATACACAGTTAAGAGAATACTAGGCAAAAGGTGGAAACTTAACTAACCTACACACTAATCTGTGTCTTTAAAGAAAATTATTTTAAATGTTTAAAAAGTAATCTTTACTATCATAACCAGATTTAGATTGTCTCTACAAAATGTCTAAACTGAAAAAATCCCCCAGTAAATGGTATAGGCAGTATATGAGGCAGTACATTTTACTTAGATGAGCACATCTCAAACTTTGGGTTAAATAAAAAAGTAACATTTCAAGTCAGTTTTATCTTTGAAGTCTTAGAGGTAGTTGAAGCCATATGACTTTTAGTTTTTACAGTGAGTTGAACCAGTAGAATTTTTAAAGTGGTTTCATGCATATGATCCTTGTTTTCAAAACAATTTCTCTAAATATCAAATATTAAGGTACTGTCAACTTTTTAAATGAAACATATTGCTAATACTAACTATAAAATCATGACCTATTAACTACATGCATGACCTCACTGCTGCAATTATTTTCCTTTATAATTAGAACAGTGAAAATCTAGAGAAGTCCTTTCAAGAGAAGACTGGAGCAAAAGGAATAAACTGTAAGGTGGGGCTTATGTTAGAGATAATACAGTGCTTCTACAAATTTACTGAATGCTTTACAAACTGTTTTCTGTTTATATTAATAAACCTTCTGCAACCTTTACACTGGCTGTATAATATCTGTGGCAGACAAGCCCAGGCTGAAACCTTTGGTTAAGGAAAACAACAGATCACATTGTGTTTTTCTCTTTGTAACTACATTGTGTATGGATGATTCTTATGCTGCAGTCAAGGCAAGGAGCACAGCAGATATATTTTAAGTCAGCATCTAGCACTGCAATGGGTATGTGAAAAGATGTGTAGGGAGTTAAATGACACAGGACCCAGCACCTGAGAGCTATCATCTGAGCAATCACCCACCTCAAGACAAAGAAGAAGGCCATAGGAGCAAGAAATTAGTACAGCAAGAAGAAAATACAGAAAATTCAGTAGAGAAACAATCTGAACTCCAGTAACTTACTTTTTTAATGTCTGAGAAGCTTTATGAATAAGCGACATCGTATAATCTTCATTCATACACATGGTATGTTCACTAATGCCAAAGTGCTCAAGTTTTGGTGTTACACACTCATAGTCATCCATCTTTAGCCTACATTTTGGTGTTTTGGGCAAAGCCTGCGGCGTTCGCAATCTTAGTGGAGTCTCATTCTTTGCCCTCAGCTGGCGCGCACTGCTCGTGTGCTGTGCGCTGTGCGGTGCTTCCAGCGCGCTCCGAGGCCTGGGGAACGCGTACTGTGAAAGCCCAAAGTCGGAGAGCTCGGGGATACGCAGCGGGTCTTTGGGCAACGGCGGCTTCTCTGTAGAAGCAGATAGGTGAGGTACATCATTTGCTTTTTCGTCATCAGATTTATTCTGCACAGACATTGCTGATTCACTGTTAGCTTCATCCTCCTCTTCTTTTTAAGAAAAGAAACGAAAAAAAATTATGTCAGAAGTTTATTTTAAGAATTTATAAAATGACACTTCCCCAGTATTCAAGTTTTTTTACTTTTTTGTTGTAAAAATTAGATTCCTTCTTTCCCTTTAAAATACTGAACCTGAAGTTACAACAGGTATCAAAACCTTATATGGCTAAGCTATATTTATAAGTCACACATTTACTGAGTTTCACTCTATTGGTAAATATTATTTCTAGGGAAAATGAAATGAAAATATTTTTACGTAAGTGTATTTTTCTCCCTGCATGGAGATGAAAAGATTTTTGGAGAAAGAGCAAAGGCTGCATACAGTACTAAAATGCTCATTCTTCAGAAAAACAGTATTGAGGAAAGGTTATGAAGCAGCAACTAAGAACTTGTGAAAGGAGACAGCTTTTTCAGTAACAGTAGTTCACTGCAAAAATATGTAACTGTGTAATTTGTACATTTTTGGAGTTAGATAAAGCAAACACACCTAAATGTTTAAGAATTTCTGCATGATGTAGTAAGTAAAGGACAATGAATATGGTGAAGGGTCTGGAGCACAATTCCTGTGAGGAGCAGCTGAGGGAGCTGGGGTTGTTTAGCCTGGAGAAAAGGAAGCTCAGGGGAGACCTCATCACTGTCTACAGTTGCCTGACAGGAGGGTGTGGCCAGGTGGGGGTCAGGCTCTTCTCGCAAGTAACAAGCGATAGGACCAGAAGACACAGTCTTAAGCTGCACCAGGGAAGATTCAGGTGGGACATTAGCAAGAATTTTTTCACAGAAAGGGTAATTAGACATTGGAATGACTTCCCAGGGAGGTGGTGGAGTCACTGTCTCTGGAGGTGTTTAAGGAAAGACTGGACATGGCACTCAGTGCCATGGTCTGGTTGACTTGGTGGTGTGCAGCCACCAAGTTAACTTAATGATTCAGAGGTCTTTTCCAACTTGGTTCTGTGAGGTGGGTAGGGGGAGGGAGGCTATTTAAAGTAATATACTTTCTGATGTGCAGTGATATGTCTTCAGATGCACTTAGCTTAAAAATATGACTTAAAAAATAATCTAACCTTGTAGCTCTATTTGGAGACTTCTTTAAAAGCAAAGAGGGTATAGGAAGAAAGGTACTACAAAAAATCAGTCTTCTGCCCTATCTGTGTAAAACAGCTATAGGAGCTTAACTTGGACTTCAATATGGTTCACAACCATAATTTTGTTTTGTGTAATGACTGGATAATAATCAGAGAGAAAGTTAAGACCATGTCAGAAGCTTTTTAAAGTCTGATTGGGCCCTTGATACCAAAAGGAGTATGTGTAGTATAGACAGGTGTAGTACTTTAAGTCATTTGGCATATCTGGATTTTTCAGAGAATTCTATGTGCATTTTCTGACTGGATTAAGGACCTCCTTCCCCTCCAATGATCAAGGTGCTATTGCTTGTCACATGCCACCTAATACCCCAGCATTCTTCTCTGGTCCCATTTATGCTGTGAAACACACATTTTAGGATTTTCTCTAGGGCGATTTAAATTAATGAAACCATCACATGTGAATACAAACAACTCAGGTGCATCTACAATAGTTCCTCATGCATGAGAAGTTGAAGCAGTGTAATTCTCTGGGTTATGAAAACATGCTTGCTAACATGTTTTCTGAATATATTTATTACTGAAAAAAAACCCCAAACCCTAAACCAAATAGACACTAACCTAACGGCATGCCAGAAGATCTAATTTCAAGTGTTTGTGTTTTAGTTAATTCCTACAGCACTAATCACAACAAAATTTTTTACCCTCTGGATATTATTAAAAAGCAAATAACATGGATGTACTTGATCTCCTAATTAATAGAAATATACATATAGTTAAAGAGAAACATTTTATAAAAATAATACTTTTCTGCACATACTGTATTAACAAGAAATATTACCTGTAGAGCCTTCGATATGTGGTTTGTAGCCATATTTCTGGAACAGCTCTCTTATTTTTCCAAGATCTGCTGCATTTCTTTCTATCAAGATTTCACTTGCCTTCATAAACTCATGAACTGCTTTATTTTCAGAGGAAATCTTACCAAGACTGGCACTAATATCTTCCTTTGGGGACAGAGAAGGGAACATAGAAATAGTGATTTTCAAATCATCACATGATAGTTGTTTACACATGAAGCATTTTGGAAGTATTTAATTGCAATTCAGATGAAGATAAGCAGCAAATTTAGGTCTTTTCTATACCTGAAAACCATCAGGCATATACATCTATGGAATACCAGGAATATATAGAGCCTAAGTGTATGAAAACTTACAAAAGTAACTGTAATGATAGCTCATAATATGATAACTACTTACTGGTAACCTTGCCAAGGAAAAAATATGCTTTTACTCTGGAAAAATATGAGGTAACAGCAATTAGTATAGACTCTTACTCTATATGTACAAAGATTTAGTGCAGAGCAGAAAGTCAACTTCATTTTTATATCACTCAATTATTTCTATATTGCTCATTTCTATAACCCATTTTTTCTACTTATGTATAAGGAATAGACAACATTTTTCACAAACTTAACTGAATGGCTGAAGGTACTGGAACTTCTGTGAAGACTGATTTTATTCTAAAGGCTGCTTATGGAAGACAAGCAAGCTTGTCTCTTTTGTTGGGAGCTGCTGTTCCTGAATCATTCTCCTCATACCTTGGCACCACTCCAACTTCCTTGTAACCTTTGTTCCCTGCTTACCTGAGCGACAGTAGTGACTGCAAACTAAGAAACATTGCTAGACCGACTTTGGGTCACCCACAAGTTTTTGGGCATTACCCCAATATCCATGGCCATTATGAGGACTTAGAGGTAAGTGAGTAAATATAAGGGTTATAACTAACGAAGTTGAATTGTGGCTTAATGATCAAAACAGAACCACAAGTTTATGGAACATGCACACACATATAATTTTTCAAGAAGGAAGCAAGCTAAGATATTACCTTCTGAGTCTTGATTTCGCAATGGAGGTCATGCAAGATTGCTAGTGGAGATTCATCTTCACAGTCTTCCAGATGAATGTTCACATAAAAGAGTTTAGAAAGTAAAAGAGGTGTCTTAGTGTTTTAGCATGAAAATAGCATTCTACATGGTGAATGAATGTAATCTCCTGTATTAGCAGAAGAGAGGCTGGCCATGAGCCGTCAGTGTGCTCTCACACCCACAGAAAGCTCAAATGTGTCCCGGGCTGCATCCACAGGTGGGCAGCAGGGCCAGGGAGGGGATTCCGCTCCTCTGCTCTGCTCAGACCCCACCTGCAGGGCTGCATCAGCTCTGGGGTCCCCGTGCAGGGAGGACAGGGACCTGTTGGAGTGAGTACAGAGGAGGGACACCAGGATGTTTAGAGGGATGGAGCTCCTCTCCTGCAATGAAAGGCTGAGAGAATTGGGATTGTTCAGCCTAGAAAAGAGGCTGCTTCAGGATGAACTAATTGCAGCCTTCCAGTACCTGAAGGGAACTTCCAGTACCTAAAAGATGGAGAAGGACTTTTTTTACAAAGGCAGGTACTGACAGGGCAAGGGGGAATGGATTCACACAAAGAGAGAGAAGATTTAGATTAGATATTAGGAGGAAGTTCTTTGCTGTGAGAATGATGAGGCTCTGGAACAGGCTGCCCAGAGAAGCTGTGGATGCCCCATCTCTGGAAGTGTTCAAGCTCAGGCTGGATGGGGCTCTGAGCACCTTGGTCTAGTGGAAGGTGTCCCTGCCCATGGCAGGTGGTTGGAACTAGGTGATCTTTAAGGTCTGTTCCAATTCAAACCATTTTATGCTTCTATAATATTAGAGATGTTGGAAGCATACATTAGAGAAAGAGAGTCAATATGGACAAAACCAAAGAGAACTAGTTCCTGTCAGGTACTTCACACAGCAAAAAACTGTTCTTTGTACAATGTGTTAAACTCCACAGAGAAATTGCCTGGGCTTTCACTTCAGCGTTGCAGCTAATACTGTATATGACAGATATTGATAAAACAAATACGACCCTGGGCTGTCAAGAATTGCTTGTGTTAGCATTTTATCATTAAAGAGGTCAGATGAAATCGGAAAAATGGCGATATAGAGACCAGTCAAAAGAAAAATTCAGCAGAAAATTGAATTCTTCCATCGTATTTGCCTGTGGGCAGATGCATCACTCACTTACACAACACAGCAGACATTACTTTTTAAACTGCAAACCAAGGCTAATGCAAACACTATAGCAGAGGGCACCTGCTACGTGACAAGACATAGCATAGAGATAAAGACAATTAGAAGCCTGAGCTATCTGTCCAGAGAGAGAATATGCCCTGGAAATGTTTTCCTACATCGATCCACGAAAAAAAGAAAAAGAAGCAAGAACGTGATAAGAAAACTCAGCCACACACCCACAAAGGAGCTCAGAGAGACAAGGAGACCAGGAGGAGCCCGAGCAAGCCCCAGGCTGAGCTCCCGGCGGAGCGCGGGCACAGCGGCGGGCAGGAACGCAAACCGAGCCAGGGGCCCCGAGGAACAACCGCGGAGCCAGCGGCCTACGGCGGCGGGCTGCCCTTACCCGCGTCCTCCCGGCGCATGGCCTGCTGCAGCTGCTTCACCTCCTTCTCCACCGTGAGGGCCAGCTCCCGCAGCCTGCCGAAGAAGGCGCCGGTCGCGGCCATGGCTCCGAGCGGGGCGCGGAGGCGGCGGGGCCGGGCCGGGCCGCGCGCGCCGCCGGGGCCTTCAAACTGCCGCCGGCGCGAGCCCCATTGGCGCCGCCGCGCCCCGCCCGCCGCAGAGTCTCGCGAGAGCCGCTCCCCGCCCGCCCGTCCGCCGCCATCTTGGCTCCTCCGCGGGGCGCGCAGCCGCCGCGTACCGGTGAGTGGGGCCGGAGGGGACGTGGGGCGGCGGTGCCCCCGCGGATCCGCTCCTAAACCGGGGCGGAGAGTGGGACACCGGCGTGCACCTGCACCGTGGGAACGGGGTGGGTTGGCTTCTCTTAGCGGCAGTGCCGCTTTGTGCCGTGCTGGAAGTGCTTAGGTGACTTACTTGTCACGGCAGCAAAGCTGACGGTTCATGAAGGGTTTGGACAACTCTCTCAGGTCCCCGGTGTGGTTCCTGAGGATGTCCTGTGCAGGGCCAGGGGGACTCGATGATCCTTGTGGGTCCCTTCCAACTCCGCGTATTCAGTGATTCTCTAAAGCTGATGAAATTCCCTGTAATGTGAAGCCTGGGCATTAGCGGGTGTCGGGTGTGGGACTAATGAGCAAAGAGCATTTCTGTGAAGTTTAAACGTCATTCGGTCTTCCTGCCCCTTACACCCAGCGTGTTCTGTCAGGATCTGTTGGTGCTTTCCGCTTACGCCGCTTGGTCTAATTCAGGATATTGCTTCTCCCTACCAACCAGATTTCCCTCGGTCAGGATACAGGCTAAGTAATTACGTACTAATCAGCTTACGGAGAGACTGTAGTCCAAAACCTCATGCTGAGGAAAAGGCCAGATTTGGATCGAGAAGACAGAGATGGAAATACTGTTTTGACAACACAGCTATTTGAAGAAGGCATGAGGGAAGTGAACCCTTCATTCTTGAATATCTGTGACTGGATTTTTCTTAAATAATTTATGGAGGATATGCTTTAATTGCAGTGTAAGGATAACTGAATAAATTCTTAAGTTACATAATTCCCAATTCCCTTTTTCTGATTGTTAAGTTTCCAGTGTATCTGGCCTTGTGCTGCCTGCTGCGTGTGATGGTTTGTGAGTACCCGGCTCTGAGCTTAAACCTTCAAACTAGCCAGCTGATAGGCAGTGGAGTGAATGCAGGGCTTTTCATCTTTCTTGTCAAAGTTTTATTTTTGTCCCTAAGGTAATGAGTATTTTATATTTCTGTTTATGTTTTAAGGCAAAATGTTTTTAACAACAGTATTACTGCGGAAGAGAATTCCTGGGAAACAATGGATTGGGAAGTACAGGCGACCAAGAGAGGTTACCATTTCAATGAAGCAAGCAATGATCCGAAGGTTGGAAATTGAAGCAGAGAATGAATATTGGCTCAGCCGGCCTTACCTGACACAGGAACAGGAATACAAACACAACACTGAAGAGAGACGTGCCAAGTGGGAAGCTTTCAAAAGCCTGAAACAAGCCAAGTTTCCTGAGCACAGATATATCAGCGATCATTTAAACCACTTAAATGTGACAAAGAAGTGGACATGTTGAATAATACAGCATATTTATATTTGGTAGATGTTGTGCACTACCCTGGGATCTGCTCTCATACCTATTATGGTATTTCACCATAATTAGGGTGGGTGACAAATAAGATGTTGCTTTGGTGTACAAAATACTACATTAAAAATAGTCCTCTGGAACAGCGTATGTTTTATTATTATTGCCGTGTTAGAGAAGTTCTTTGGATGCCTCTCTACCATCTGCCCACCCTCTGTTCTTCAGGGCTTAAACAGCAAATTACCAGGTGCAGTGGTGATTTATAGATAACTGAGTTTATAGCTTCAGTGATTGCCTTCTGAAAGCCTGGAGAACACTCCTGCCTTGTTGAAAAGGCTCATCTGCTGGTACTGGCCACATGGCTTGAGCCAGTCACTCTCCCTTCCTCAGGGATTGTTCTGTGTACACCAGGTACTTGAGACATGACTATCACACTTGCCATCAGGCATACAAGGACCAAGGGGAACTAGAACTGTAGAGACAGGGGTATGAGGCTGGAATTCATGGAATGTTATAAAATGTTCAATTTTTAAAAAAAAAACTTTCTGGAAATAATTGTTGATCTTAACTTCCAGTGTCATTGTCATGTCAGTGCCAACTTGGGTGTTACAGCTCTCTTACACAGATTGTTCCTGACCTAAAAGGAACATGGCTGATTTCCTGTTTGAGCAGTTGATTTCTAAGTCAGGTTTAGTGTCATGGAGGAATAAGATTTAGCCACAAGTCAGGCTTTTTATTTCCCCACAAGACCCAATGACCTGGAAGATGTGTCAAGAGTGAGTGTAATCTTAGGTTTGTTGTAGCTGGAGTGTAAAAACCAGAGCAATGGTGCAGTGTTTCCCAGGTAGGCAGTTTTCCTTGGTGATCTAATAATACAGATGCTACAGCTGAGCACTTTCCAGATTCTTTCACATATTTTTATTAAGTTGATGTTGCATTCAATAATGAATTCAAGTGTCAAGTCTTTTCATATAACTTTGGAAAAGAGGCTTAAAATGGTACTTTTTTATTAAACACGGATTATACTTCAGAGAAGTATGAACAGGTCTGAACACTGATGTACAAAATCTTGAATGCACTTTCATTGGTTGTAAATGGCTTAAGAGAACTTTATGGTAAAGTATACATATGGGGAAATTGCAAATACAATTAAAACATGAAGGAACTTCCAGGCAAAGCAATGTGATTTTGTATTTAATTCATTTATAAAAGCCCATTTCAAAAAGTTACTTCAAGTATTAAACTATAAATGGCAACGTTTTCTCTGTGCATAGGATGAGTCCTATCTGTAACATACAAAAAAATACAATAAGTGCGTCATTATTACAGGTATCTTTTACACATCATCCCAAACTTAAATACAGCTCATTCAAAGTTTAGGCAGCACAATTAAAAATAACCTTGTGGCAATAAAACAGCTGAGACATTGTGATTAGTGCAAATGTTGATGACCCTTGCTGGCAAATACAAAAGGAACTTAAGAGATAACCCAGGACGTTTCATTCATCTAAGTTAAAAGCGGAACAGACTTAGCAGGAATGCTGCCTCTCTCTGGGATAGCTTCATGATTGTAAATTCCCATTTAGGAAGATTTAAGTTTCCCATAATAAAGCTGATAACAGGATAAGGGACAGGAGAAATCACAGAGGACCATGCTAAGTGTCTTTAAGTTGTCAGCTAAACTGTAAACGGAAGGGAATCAGCATGTCACTCCCAATGCTTTGGTGACAAAGTATACAAATTCTTCATCTCTGACACATCTACTTGACTGTTGAGCATGAGCTCTCTGTTTCTTAGGGCAGAGGGTAGGAAGAAAGACGGGGAAAGCTCCCAAAACCAAAGAAAGCGATCTGTAAACATTATCAGACTTCACTACCTAATGGAAACAAATTCAAGTAAAGGCTTTAGAAAACAAATGACCAAACACCTGTTTAATCCACATGAAAACAAACTACTCGTAGCTTCATGATGTTTCACGACAGCTACATAATTAAGAAAAATGTGTATAAAAAGCTCTATATACAAAATAAATGGATAGAAATGAGTGTAACAAACGTGTTCAGTACTAAATCACTTCACGTGCAGCTGCTCTCTTTGGTGCCATTTAGGGATAAAAGAGCCTCTGAAGCTGCACGCATCGCTGTTTTTTAGGTACTGCAAAAAGACATTTGTGAGCTAAAAGTAACTGCTGTTTGGAGCCTCTCTAAATGCACACCCAAATCCCCCAGTCAGAACATACACTCTCCCCCTTGGAGAACATATGCTGTGAAACTCAAAGCTGCTGTGGTTTTGCTATTATTCAACTTCTAAATAAAAATCTGGTCAGTTGGTGCTCCAGATCCAGGCAGATTTGGTCGATCTGTGTCGGAACCAGCGCATCTTAGTAAATCTACCAGACTTTAATACTGCTGCAACCACTGCAGTTTTTGTCCTCTTGGGGCTCTGCTCAGCCACAATTGGACCATACTTCAGTTAGATCATGAAGTCTTTGAGTAGAAATTCATCCCAACCCAAAAGACGATTTATAATTAATAGAGAACCACACAAGACTAAAGGAAAGAAACAGTACCTGAAAAATGTGAGTATTCAGCACTCTGGAGAACAGGACCAGTTTGTAAAAACAGAATACCAAAAATAGCTTGGTACTTGGAAATTCCACACTTGAGAGGCAGCTTTAATAAAAATATGACTGTGATTTCTATTCAAATCACTAAAAATAGAAGTGACTAAACTTCCTCTAAAGTAACCCTCTGATTATTTTAAATTGAGGTTTCTAATCACATCTGACTTGTATCAATACTGTAGGAAGTCAATTAATGACAGAAACCTACTCCTCTTCCTGCCCTCCTCCCATATTACGCCTTTGGTAGGCACAGTAATGATGTGTGTCTTGTACTCTCTGTGAGTAAGAAACAGTAAGAAAAACCCCAGTATTGTGTAGTTTTAAGTAATTTCTATTTGTGGATTTTCCTGCCTCATATTCACAGGGACAGGTTTGTTTCAAGACATTTCAGAAAAACGAAATCCTCCCCTACATCAGGCTTCTGTTCTCACACTGGGAATTTAAAGCCTTTTTTTCATTACTTTTTGAGCATATGTAGATTTTTTTAAAAGAGAAAAGCAGAAAGAAACAAGAAAGCAGTTTCTAACTGCAGCCAATGTCAACTATCCTACAATAACTACTACGTATGGCTTGTAGTAGCCATTAATGGATCTAAAAGCTTAAGGGCTGCTATTTTTAATGACAACCTACGTATTTTCAAGACTCCCTGATAAAGAGTGGGCTAAACCACAAAACCAGTATTTACAATATGGCCCAACACCCTCAACAACTGTTTTCTCAGGATCCATCCCCTTTCTGATCTGACCATGGGGCAAAAGTACCCCCTTCCTGCAGCCCCTGCCTCTGCTGGTAGGGACACATGGCTGCTTGCAGCCCAGCAACCGAAGAGCCATTCTGCTCCCTCATGGATTTGCTGGCACAGCACAGCCTAGGGAGTGCTCAGGACAGAATCCAAAGGCAAGGATGTTATCCTGGCTGCCTTAGCCATGATACCTCCCCCAAAGCCCAGGCCTGCCAGGAAAACCTAACTTCACTTACTGGCATGCCCTTGGAGTTCAGCAGTACAATTCCCTTAGAGAACTTAATTCCTTTAAATCAGCCTGGGGTTTCTCTTAGTCCCCAGTTCCCCAGGAGGAAAAAACCAAAAGTGATTGTGGGTGGTGAATGTGGGAGAATCATCTTTCAATCATTTTACTATGTTTCGTGGTTGTCAAAGTGACTTTCAGTAATGCCTACTTTTACACCAACAGTAACTCTGGCCTCAGGATTATCCTAAAACCACTGCTCCTTTTCTCATCTCAAATATTAATTAAAACCTAGGACAAAATATTCCTGTGATCTGCATAAACATGTCAGAGATGTCAGTTCTTCATGAAATGTCAACAAAAATGTCCATCAGATATACAAATAAGTGGTTTCAGAAGAGCTGCACTTGTTAGAAAATGCACATGGAGATAGCACAGTCTGTTTACTTGCAGTTTTTTCCTGTAGATTCACTATCCTGACTAAAGAAATCAAACCAGTTCTCCTGATGTTGGCCTACAGGATACATACATTCATGGGAGGGGGGTGGTATATGAAGCACTTTGGGGAGCAGAGACCATATTGCTGAGTTCAGCGATACTTAGGATTCTGACATACATTTTGCTTATAGTTCTGCTGGATGATATCTGTGCATGGAAATGTTATTTCAGCTATAATACATGGATGCAGTAAAAGCCAGATGATATCCCAGGCCCTCCATGACAGTTCCACCACTGTTTGGGGCTGCAAATTTTGGTATTCAGAACAAGCCATTTGAACATGCAGTCTTCCTTCTCTGTTATCTTCCCCAAGAAATTTTGCTGGTACGATACTGCTGAGAGCTTATGTTAAAATGGGCACTTCTCACTTAGAGAAGAAAAAGCTAAACCTTTCTGATCAATGTGTAGCAAATGCTTTTGTAAGTTTTGGAATTAGCAAATGCAAAATTTCTTATACAGAGTTTGAAGAAACATTCTGCAACTTTTATAAAACATGCAAATTTGGACCATTCCTTCTGTCGCAAGGATATCCAACAGTAAAATCATAGGTTCTCAAAGAGTTCTTGTTCCGGAAGATTAATATTTAAGAAAAATTTATTATATCCAAAGACAAAAAATACTTATTTTAAACCTTACATACTCGATACCTTAGTATTTCCATCATAAATATATTTAACCCAAGTAGCAATCAGTCTGGGAGACAAAACAAACAGGTTCTTTTGGACTAAATCATCAATTTGACTACTACCTTCAGTCTGTATCAACAGGGCTCATGTCTATTTGTAATCATCAGCAGCTGAACATCAGAAATCTTACAGAGAGAAAAATAGTATTTGTCACTCTTTCCAGGTGCAAAATTCCAATACCACCCAAAGATGAGTTAGCAGTCTTCTCTGTAGAGAAGTGAGGAAAAAAAAAACCCCATGTTCTTTGCTGTAGGTCTTGAGCTAAGGATGGGATGGACTTGAATCCTCACACAGGGAACACATTTCACCTTTTGTAAGCATTGCTGCACAAAGCCATCAGTCTTTAACAATTTCAGCATCACTTAAACTGGACTTGAAAGTGGGAGACTAAAGGATGCAATTTTTCAGTGTGCTAACACAGATCTATGATGTAACACTAACCTTCTTGTAAATACCTGATATTTGTACTTTAGAACCAATAAAACCTTGTTCCTTTATTAAAAAGATAAAACAAAAGTATAAAACAGTATAAACCATCAAGAGTCCCATGGAAAAAGCAGTACTTTGCTGGTTCTGTTTTCTAGAAACACACAACTGCAATATGGTTTTTCTCAGGGGTACTTTACCATTTTGTTGCTGCCTTCACAGAACACAGCAAACAGTAACAGAAAATGTAACAACTGTTAATTCCTTTTTGGACTGCCTTTTCCTTGTATGCTGACTGACAATTGTTGGAAAGTAATAATCCATGTTTTTTTCAACTAAAACACAAGTTTTCTTTTTTGAGCTCTGTCTGTGGTATGGTTAAATAAATCAAGTTAAAATTATGAGGAAGCTCAATCCTATAGCAAAAAAGCAACACCCAAGTTAAAGGTTTTTATGTTGTTGGCATTACCTTGCTCCAAAGCACAGCTAGTAGAAAGAACCCTCAGTCCCAAAAGACTTGGAGAGCTGTGATCATGGGGTAGATTGGTTAATAGGGAGAGAGGAGAAACACCATCCAGTCTCTTCCCCATCACCGGGCATCTGAACTATGTATATTCCCACTTCAGACTTGCTGACCATGCTCTAAGCTGACTCTGTTGTTTTTTTTTCCTTTTCTTCCGTACTCTGGAGACCTGCTATGGAAGTGCCTTCTGCAGTGCCTAAGGTATGACGTTTGCCCGTGAGGAGGTACGAGTCTCTGCAATATACCCCCGCCACTGCAGCATAAAAGAAATGCATAGTTCCCACTCTGGACCTTGTGCATCCAAGCAGGGCACTTCTGGATCTGGCCCTTTGGTAGCAGTATATAATTCAGTGTTGCATAAATGCACATTAAGCATCTTAAGGCATCTGTCTTAACTTCCCTGCTCTGCAATAGTGCTTACAAGAATCCATTGTACTGTGCAGAAACTTGAATTTCTTGTCTCTTCCTAAAATGTTCATGTTCCATTTTTTCCTGCTCAACTTCTTCCAAACAAAATTAAGTAATATTCAAGCTCAAAATGTGTTGCAGAAACCTAATGAAACAAAAAAAGGTAATTAATGGAATTATTCAATTAGCTTTGAAGAAACACATCATAGTGCATTACACAAATGCATCTGGGTAATATGATTTACAGACTTCTGATTAAGGTAAGTAGTTAAGGCAACTTCAACTCAGAAATAACCTTCTGGGAGGTGTGGGGTTTTGTTCTTCTTATGTTTTAGAAGCTTATCAGCGCTAAGAACATCAATCCATCAGCACTGATCTGCATCTAAAGCATCCAGGATCCCTGACTGGCAATTCAATTTTTAAATTAAATTGATAGATGTGAAGACACAAATGGTATTTACCTAGGTGAGGCTGGGGGACTGGCCATCTTCTGCAAATCAAGCTTTATACACTAGAATAAGCCATGACTTTGCTTCTGCTGTGTTACGGGCCCAAAATTCAAAAATACACCTATTGGCTTGCTACAGGGTTTTATGGAAGTGCATTGAACAGATCCTGGATCTCACAGCTACTGTACAGTTGCTTAGAAATGCAGGATTGGGATTAACCATCTTGGCCTAAACCGTGATCAAATCCAACTGAACTCAGAATGGTTTCAACATTGTGTTACTGAGTTGATTTAAGGTAACACATATCCAAATGCTTTTTAATTGGGTGCAACTATGCACTTTTAATTTATACAACTTTTAAAACTAGTGTAGTTGGGGCAAGTGCAACACAAAGTACAAATTCTTCCTTTATTAAATCTGGCCTCATTTTAGGAAGAGAGTGAAATAGAAAAGAAATTGATCTCAAACTATTACCAAATAATTGTCTAGCTTAAAACAGTCATCTATGCTCCCTCTCTAGGTCAGTGGAAAGAAAGATAAAGACCTTTCTATAATACCCTATCAAAGGCTGCTGGGATGAGCTGCTCTCAGAAACTTCTATTCCTCTCCATGAAGAACAGAAAATCCTTCGTAACCTATTTAGATCAGATTAGGTTTTTTATAGCTGGAGGCTGAAAGGAACCCCTTGCTTAGGATATTCTTTTGCACATTTATACAGCATTAAGAAAAGTTGGAAAGGGGAAACTTACCATTGGTGAGTTCTCATGGTTGAGTAGGTTTTTCAAAAGTTATAACTACCTAGTCTAATCTTGGTCTTGTATGAGTTTACACTGAGCAGTCTGACCAACATGAGCCCAAGCATCACACCATCACCCACAAAGACCTTTTAGAAAGTTTTTTCTTTTCCTTTAAAACAAACTAACCCCCTCCCAAAACGATAATTTTAGGTCAGAAGGCTCCTTAAAAAAATAAAAGGAAAGGAAATAAAAGTAATCCTAAAACTACTTACCAAATTCAAGTGTAGTGTTTTATTTCTGATAAAAATGTGAATTACTTGCAAAAAACATCCCTCCCACCAGAAAACCCACAACAACTGAAAAAAAAAAAAAAAAAGAGGGAGGAGAGGGAGGGGGTAATGACTCAGCTATAGCTTCTACAGCTGTTAGTTGACCAAATAAGATTTGTTTCTCTTCCAAACAGAAAAACTTAATGATAACTGATAAGCTCACTACAGTAGAAAGTCAACATAAAAGAAGTCTAATTTAGTCCCTGGAAATACACCAAGAGAACTTTCACATATGCATCAAAATGCACTGTATTTCCTAAATGCAAAGTGCACACAGGACACTTTAATGCAAGAATCATTCCAGAAGATCACTCAATTCCAAATGTGAAAGAGCAGTCTGTATGCAGAGACCTGTATTCACTTACTGGCCTTCCTTCCTCATGCACATGGCACCTTCCTAAAGAGCAGAACATGGCCCACCAATATATGATTAAGAAAAAGACATTTAAGGAGCTCTTCTTCAAGACAGTGTTTCATCTCAGAATTGCATTTAACATCAGATTATTTTCCCTGGCCAGGTAACAAATCCAGCATTACCCACTTTAATCTAAATTACAGGATTCATCTGACTCATTCCAGGCCTAGCCAACCCATGTTTCCTGCACTACAGCATTGCTCCCATTCTTGTCTTCTCAACAGCCATTCTGAATTTGGTTTAGACTTTGCTATTACTCATCTAACATCAGCAACTCCTCTGCATTCTGTGACTAGTTGATTTTTGACTTTGAGATGTTAATTTTACTCATACATGTACAGAAACAGCAATCAATTATGTTAGTCTTACCTGTTTCTCATTGAGATGGTTGGTTAGTAATTAGCTGAGATCAGCTTTCCAATGAAACTATAATATGCTTTTTTGCACCTAGAATGTGAGAGAATCTCAATTATGTGTTTTTGCAGATTTGCACAACAAATAGCAAAGATTTCAAACTATAAAGCACATTGACAGTGTTGTGCCTACTTTTACAAAAATATTTTCCTCCCCCTTACCAAACATAAAAGATCCCAAGTCTCAGAACTGAAGTGCAAAAGTGGAATTATCTATCCCTCTACCATACACTCACTACCTTAACACAATAACAAATTCTAGAGCAGAACAGGGGATGCAAGTTATCCTTACATTCTAAGCATCCTGACTTGATACCATGAAACACATTTTTGTCTCTATCATTCCAGCCAGTTCCTAAGGACTTTCTTTTTAGGTGCCAAAAATTAAAAAAAAAAAAAAAAAACCCCAACCACAAACAAACAAACAAACAAAACCCCAAGCAAACAAACAAACAAAAAAAAAAAAAAAAAAAAAAAAAAAGGAAAATTGAACCACAAACAAAACCACTACCTGATTTCACATTTTCCTCCTCAGGACCAGTTTCCACCCACTGACAATCACCGGATAGCAACCGATTTTGTGATTCACTGAGTGGTCGAGTAGGAAAGGACTGATTGGCTACAGAGCTGAAAAGTAAGCAAAGTCAACAGGAATTCTATTATACCAATAGCTGCTTCAGACATTTATAGAATAGTGAAGTCACTTAAAAGCAAAGCTGATAACAAAAAACCCTACAGTGCAAACTGGAAATGGCCACCTGCCCTGAACCCTAATTCCTCTACAGGCTTGTTCCACTCATCAGTCTAAAATAAACCCCGACCTGACACAGGCCACTCACTTCTAATGGAAAAAACCCATGTATTGATACACAAGAAATGGCACCCTGACAATTAGACTGCCACACATCTAAAAAGAAAACCTACGTAATTCCATCTGGAAGAGCAACCGAATGCCATCTTATCCCATGCAAATGCCAGGGCCTTCTTTCGAACAATCTTCTGAATGTAAAAAGATACTTTGCTGTTTGCACAAGGGTCCTGTTCTTGTGTAAATTCCACAGGTTATGTTGCACTGGAAGCAACTTCTTCTCTGTATTGCCTTTGAATCCTCTAATATCTGGTAACTCAGGTGACTGCTGTTGGCAACAACCTTCAGCTTACAAATTCATTAAACTATGCAGAAAACTCCTAAAGTGGCAAATATAAACACCCCCAGAAACTGCACACAGACTCTTGTCACTTCAAAGGTACATTAAAGATACAAAACAAGCAAATTTGGGAAAGATAAAAAGCAATGAGCTAAAAATCCCAGCATGAGAGATCTACTTCTCTTTCAAACTGTTGCAGCATTACTTGTTTAAGCATGCTTCGGAGATGAAATACAAATAATACCTTGTCTTTCACAAAAAAATCCCCAAACCAAGCAAATAAAACATTTTTTCCCCTATGGACAATTATTCAGTCTTCCCTAGGGCTTCTTTGATTGTTGTTAAGAGCCAGTAAGCTCCCTTACTTTTCTGTATTACTGCTTCCTTAGAGCCTTATCCTCTGTTACACAAAACCAAGACACAGTAAAGTTTTTAGTCTTAATCCATTCTGTCCTTCACTGAAGACTTACAGACTTACTCTGAAGATGATATAAAGCATAAAGAATTAAAAAACTGACTTTGAAACAATTTTTTTCTCTAGATAAGTACAAAACAGTGTAAAATCAGTATTTAAGTGCTATAGTTACCTTTTGGCAGGTTCATTTTGGCTTGAGACTGTAAGTTGCTCTGGATCCATAATCACCAAGCGAGTTGGGAAATTACATCCATCACCCAAACTAAATGAGAAACAAAGACTCTAATCACTGTTGGTAGCTGACTTAAGTGAACTGAAACAAGGACCCATGGAAAAGGCAAAGGCTACAGGGTCAAATAAATTAGCTGAGCACAGTGCTAAACTCCAGACTTTAGCAAGGCAGTTCTACCACTAAATCAGATGATCAGTTAATTAAATCTTGGAGCTCAATTGATTCCCACTTTACCAGTGAGTATAGACTGCTGTGCACAAGCACAAGTCTGTGGATTTCAGAAACACAGATGTATTTCAGTAGACTGTAGCCCTAATCTTCCCCCAAACCAGCATGCACACATGGTAAGACTCTCTGGTATTTACAACCTCAGAAGATGTATAATAAATAACATTCTGGCGGCCATGCTTTCCCCTTCACCCATAATTTTGAAATTAGCTAAGCCTTCTTTTAAAGTTTATCAGGATAAAATGCAATCAGCAAAACAGATTGAGCCATCTACAGTGGAGCTTCAGTCTTTAATCACATGGTAGTTAAGCAAACAGCTGAGTCAACTAAAGCTGCTGGTATTACCTCTGCTGCTCTGAGGTCATACCAGACCTCAGCTTCACAAGCAGGTTCAGCAACATTTTTACCTGATACATAGCCCCCCAAGAGCAGTGTTGAAACACAAGTTCTACTTCATTCTTCTGAAATCTGGTAGTGGTTGGAATTGACAGCACGTCAGTCTTGCTTCATCAGGCTTGTCTGCAACTCCCTAATGCTGGCTCAGCTGACATTTTAATTCCAGCATTTTTCATCATATCAGATATTTTTTCCTTCTCTCTTTCTTATTTTCATGCACTTTCTTAGATAGCGTTTGAATCCTAAAGTGTCATCTACAGCAAAAGGAAAGCTGTCAAGTTTTTCCAGGGGCAAGAGAGGGTGTTTTTTAGCTGATGTTGTTGTGATGCAGCTGTTTGATCTCCTCTGAGCTGCTGATTTCTGCTCTATAATCACTGAAACTACCACCAAAAGGTGCACAATTTTTGCAATACACTTCTCAAAGCTTTTCAAACTTCGGCATTTAAAAGGCTCTTGTCAGGAAGCTCCCTGTTTTTGAATGAAAACCCTGTGTGGAGTTTGATAGTTTTCTCTTGCACATTTTCCCTGCACCAGTATTTACTGTACTGGATATACAAGTTGGCTTTTCAGCTGTGTTTTATTTTTTAGTAGAAAGGGAAGGACAGTGGAAGTCATGGAATCAATTCTCTAATTCATTACTGTTTAGACTGAATACCTGGTAAAGATAGGAAGTAGCCAATACTTCTTTTCATCTCCAAAAACCTCCCTTAGATTTTTGCTGCATCCAAGAGAAAAGCCATTTTTATCAGGACCATTTCGAAATGTGGGTGCACGGAATGTTTCTGTAAAATAAAAAACATGTAATTCCTTAAACCAGTAAGGAATCAGGGAACATGAAGAACCAAACCCAAACTTCTCTGCTATGGAGCCAGTTTTGGGCAAGGTGAGGTGATCTTGATGTATATATTATAGGGGGAAAAAAATTCTTAAAATCTCAAGTAAACAGAAAAAAAAAATCACAGAGCTAGTGAAAAATAAGAAAATCAGGTAAGGAGAACTGTCACCTTGTCAACTTTCTCTCTTTATATTTAACAAAGACTGAGATAATGCTAAGTACCATCAGCATGCCAAAGATAACCACATCAATCTCTTATTCCTTGGTGATTTGCTCTCTCTTCAGCCTTTTTTGAGTGGACAATTTTCCCTTTTAGGAGTAATTTACCATAAGCACTGCTGGACCTAAGCCCATAGAGAAGAGGTTTTTCCGCATCTGCCAAGTTAGGAAGCTGAATTAAGAGCATTCCATACTATCAGAGGAAGATAATCTATTATGTTAAAAACAGACATATCATGAACTATAGCAAACCACCATAATTTTGCCATTCAGTCCAGTTACACCATTGGCCAAGAACTGAGAGGACTTATTGCTCTCCCTCCATCCCAATATCTTGTCTTCTAAGATCATGATCCAGAAAGCAGATAAAGAACTGTGTTGCCAATTATGACCACTGACTTTTGGGTAAGAGATATGTTGAAGTTTTAAAAGCTAAAAAGAAACTGTGAATATTCCTTACCTGTTCATATGTCAAAAAAAAAAAAAAAACAAACCAAAAACCAAATAACTCTCCTATTAACCAATCAAAAAATTCTAGCAAAAAAAATTCTAGCTGAAAATTATTTTACTTTTAATCAACCCACTTATTTTTGAGATTAAAATTTTAAATTCAGTGAAAGATACAAGATTTTGACTTACTCAGTTGTAGAAATACTCACCAGTCTCTGTCCCCCCATACACTGCAAAAACCACTCTCAAGTGTTTCCTAGCAAGAGCTTCAAATACTTTAATTAAATGCACATAGCTTGTTTATGCTGATCAATGCCATTTAAAATGTTTAGGCATAAAATTATGGAAATCTCTTATTATCTGGAAAATGTGCATCAGTGTTTTAATTTTTATCACACTTTTACAAGCCCCTTTGTAAAAATAAGGTCAGTTTTCTTTCACAGGATATAAGAATACTCGTTTGTATCTAGTTCAAAATGTAGTACGTGTTCATGTACAGCAGAGCCTCCCACTTGGTAGGGGACGCCCAGATACTTAAAGTATTAGAACAGAGTAGCAAGTAGCAATTGGGTTACATCACACTTTAAAATTACAACAAAAATTCATGATGCCACAGAGGTCTCAAAAATACAAACAAAAGAAATGAACAGTCATCATGAATCTGAATGATTGACTCCAGCAGAGGATCCCCCACAGGCTTCATTTTCCCATTTGTTTCACCTTTAATTACTTCAACCAAATATGCTTTTTACTGTACAGTATTGAAAAAATCAATTTATATGTGATGACATATCAGGTAGGCCTCACATTCTCACTGAATTGTCATTTTTCTGGACCAGGAAAAGTTTCATATCCCAATGAACTGACCTATAGTTGATCTGTTTTTGCCAACTAGCCAGCAGTGGTAGCTGAAGAGTGACAGTATGCTGATGAAGAACATGGCTGCCACAAAGAAAAGGAATAGTACATGGAACTTTGCATGGGTATCTGGCAATTCATTCTGGGGAGAAAGAGAGAAAGAGATTAATATGTTAGCACTTCCCAGCAACTAAGGCACTATTGTAACTGAACATTTCCTGTCACACCCAGACTGCTATAGGTCATTCACCTCCATTTTTGCCAAGAAAAGCAGCAGCTATTCCTTTCATGTCATGTTAAACTGGAAAACTACAGCATTTAAATCTCATGGGTACCCCTTCCCCCATGTTTACTACTGTGAGTGCACTTGTGCATCCATGGTTTTCAAATGCACAGCAGGGGGCAAGGCAAAACATTTTCTATACCAGAAAATGTTAACTGTGCAGCCACAGCCAAAGAAACATGGGGAAAATATGTCCAAAGTCACTTCCTCTGAAGGGGAAAAAAAAGTGCAATTCCTGCCACAAGGTAGTAATACTGAACCTAATTCTTAACTGGTATAATGAACATAAAAGGTAAATGGCTGTCATGAACAAGTCCTAAACAAGACATAGGATAGATCTTCAATTTTTGATCACCTCTAATGTTTAAGCAACAATCATGTACCTAGCAAAACAAATTTGTCACATCTGACCAGGTAGAAGTCAATCACCAGAAATCTATCTGGAAAACAACCATTTCAGTATAACCACCATAAAGAAACCAATTCCCACCCATATCAGATTGTCAATTCCACCCCAAACTATTTTCAGGCTTTCAAAAGGCCAATGGGATTTGTAATAATACTATTCCAGTTCTATATCCTCAAAATCACAGCACTTTCAAGCAGTTGACCTTTAACAACATTATGAAAGCAGAGAGGCTATTTTTACTCAGCTATTTACTTAGCATTACTGCCATTACTTTTTCCATTAGTGCATTCAGTACACCCATTTATCTACATCTGACTTTCTTTTTTAAGCTAAAACACATTTCAATTAAGATCAAGTGCACATAGGTATATCCATTTCCCTGTACATGGTTTATATTTATAGGCAACAGATTACTAGTCTCCTTCCTTCTGTGATGATGTAAATACCTGCCATGAATGACGGGACTAGAAAAATTGTAGTACGAACCACATTTAAATAATGATAGCAATATTGGATTTTACCTTTGGACAATTCTCTGCAGCTTTCCTGCGGCAAAGCTTTGCGCAAAGAAAGACAATTTATTAAACACTAGTATTATGTTAATATAGGGTGGTTGAAAACAGCACAGGCTTTGCTAAGAACAGAATGGCTGGTGTGCAAATGTGCTCTTGCATATGCCAATTTCCAAAGCACATCAGCAGCTTTAGCCCCTGTTCTCCAAGAAAATGAAGAAGTATGCAAGAGCCCACTACTAACTTCCAAGCCATGAAATCTTCTACTGAAGCATAGATGTATTGGAATTCAGATTGTGACTGGATCACTTTCAAGTGGTTGCTCAGCTTAGTCAGCATGACTACACCAATTTCCTTCTTTGCTAGTTGTTTCCATCACAAATAAGATTTATGTGAATATTCTGTATGATGAAACCATTCACAAAGGTCTGAAAAGCTCAGGATACTCCTGAGGTATAAAGTAATGGTTTATTAATTAAAAATCTTTCTGACTTCAGAACATATCAATTACCATTAGATGTAGTTTCAGCCAAAACCATAAAAAATAAATTGCCATTCTTTGCACAATTTTCTTCATTTAAAAGAGATCTGATAACAAATCAGTACAGTTTTTCTTTTTCCTAATTTCCTTCAATACAGAGCAGTTTGTAGGGCGTATCTTTAGTATAACACCTGAAATTGAACCAGTGCTTGAGAAAACAAAGGAAGAAACAGGAAAGCTGGGTTCAAATTAGCTTTTAAATTCTAAACTTTATACTTAAAGAGTGGTATCTTGGCTAAGATGCTAGCACTTAACTGATCTGTTGTAGGCAAGATGTATGGCTTTTAAATTCCATTAATATGTGCAAAAAGCTTAGGGAGAGCCCAAGCATCTACATTAGTCAGGCAGATATAGACAGCATTTTCAAAAGTGCTAGCTGCCATTAGATAATTCTACAGTAAGCAAGTGACAAGCAGAGTCCAGCTCTCTAAACTGCCATTTAAGTTCAGTTTCCTTTTTACTGTCCATTTTATTACTTATTTACTGACAATTCGTGCAACAGTCCCTCTTCCACCTGCAGTAGGGATATGTTGGGTTTTGCGATCCACTGAAATCCAGCCTAGCAAAATACTCCAGTTGCTGCTTATTCCTAAGCTTCTTGTTGAAGCAACAGTAACTCTTTCTGCCTCAGTGCACACTGCAGTGCTCCCCACCTGCCCAACTGATTTTTGTAACTTGAATTCCTATGACTTTTTTGAAATTACATATTTAAACAAAATAATTCTCTACAAGGAATTCTCAAGAACTTATTCTGATGCTAAAAGAGCAGCAGCAGCTTAGTCTTCGTGTGTTCTGTGGGTCAGAAAATCTAAGTTTGCTTCACTTATATCTTCCTAAACCAGCAGCTCTAAAACGTGGAGGATTTTTTGAATTATGCATGATTACTCTGCATGATCCCCAGGGAGCATTTACCTCTTCTGACTACCCAGTTTCAGCCACTGGTTGTAACTTCCTGAATGACTGTTGCAGAACTGAAGCATCTTTCAAAAAAGGCCAATTCTTTACTGGAGAGAAGCATGCAGTCTTTGAGTGTGTATAACAAGCTTATTCACAGTGGTGTTCTAGCAGCAGTCCACATGCCCTCCGCATGTGAAAAGAGTGAAACTTCAGACATTGGTTATTTAAGATCATTATGCTCAGCAGCAGCACACAAGCAGAGACTTGCAGGTGAGAGAGCTGCAGAGTTTACAAAAAGAAGCAATTTGCACAACACAATCTGGACTACTTAGCACACAATAGGCTGAAGCCAGTCACTATTCAAGAGTCTCTTACAAACTCTTTCACAAACAGAGTAATTTGATCGCTACCAGGTCATTAAACCCCTCAAAGAAAAAAGTGCTGTCTGAGCTTGATTTGTTCCTCATTTTTCAGTACATAGGTCTAGCTTAATCTTTGAAAAAAACTCAGACCTGGTCTACCTCCTTAGTATAGGCAAGAGGAATGAGTTCTAACTACTAATGTGGAACCACTCCTTTTTTTTACCCCCCTATTATGAATACAACCAAAGTTTTGCAGAAGCACATGCTATCCACCCAGGATGTGTATCACATCCTTTATTTAGCTACACTCAGGATTGAAAATTAATCTGGAGGGCAGTGAAAGACAATGAAAATGACTGGAAAACATAATGGTTTCAAGGAAGTGGCAGTGCAGCAAGAGTAAGAGTAGACAAATATAAGCTGGGAAGCATCACCATGCACCGTGTAAACAAGGCATCAAGCACTGGGCGTCTGGCCAGTGCTGGTGTTTGTGTCAGACGTTTGGTTAAACTGGCATTTTATCTTTAACAACCTCTGAGGTAGAAATAAAAATGTAATGAATATAGAAAAAGCAGTTATAGGTATAAATAAAGAAATCAGTCACATTCCCTTGATCTACAAAACAGATTTTAACATCACCATCAGGGTGCAAGCCTGTGGCAAACATTTCCAGTCCGTGTTGTTGTTCCACTATTGTATGCACAGAATCAAGACCTTTCTTCAGCACTTCTGCCTAGAGCATGATATGTGCTGTGTAAAAGTAAGTCCTGCATGTGCAAGTGAGAAATACAAAGGCTTTCTTCAAAAGAAGAATTTGGCAGGTGTGCAAGTCTCACAATGTTTCCAAGTATCTGCATAGGAGCATCATGTCTCTATGCTTGTATTATCAACAGTGCAAAACAATGGATTGCTACATTTGTGTAGTTAGCACATACACCTCCCCAACCTCATTACAAGTTCTTCCCCCAGGCTACATTCCCCAAGAAGCAGTCAATACTTCCTTCAAACACTGGATATATCCAGCAGTTTGTCACACAGTCTCTGAAAAACATCTACAAGGAAGCAAAAAATAAGCACTACTTTCTGAAGGTATACTGTAACATTTCCTATAGTCAAGCTTTGTGGGGAAAAAACAGCCTTGATTTTGCTCAGTTTTAGAGCATGATTCTAATAACATCAAGCTTGTGGGTTTTTAATGCCCATATGGGCTGTTTAATGAAGATTTGGACTCAATGATCCTTGAGGGTCCTTTCCAACTCAAAATATTCAGTGGTTCTGTGCATCTAGACAGCCTCAACAGAAAATGTCCAAACAGCAATCTGTCTGATGCTGTAGCAGACAAAGCTGAGGATTAGCAATATACTGAAGCAGTCTACAGACAGCATGTGTCAGCAGCATTCTGCTTTGGTTTGCATACAGATGTAGAGAGAACCTTCCAAGAGAGCACTTGCCTAAAAGCTTATGTACAAGAGACACACAAAATTTGCAAGCCTACATCATTATGGAGCTGCCACCTCTTTCTGGAAATGTACTTTCGTAAGTCAGTTATAAGCTCAGAAGAGTCTTAGCTTTGTGAAGTGGGTGACTTAATATGAGTAAAGTGAGTCAGAGACCTATTCTACTGATAAGATCAGGGCATTCCCAGGTTCTGTCTTGGAAGTATCCGGAATTGAAAGCAAGTACACAACGACATTGTCTATTGTTACATTTCAGAAGTAGCCCATTCTTGCAGGAAGCATTTTTAACAACTGAATCAATAATAAAAAAATAATCCCTCTTAAGTTTACTTCCTCTGCTTGAGAGTCCACTTCAACATTGTGTCCGATGAGCTTTGTAAGAGTCCTGCTGCAAATGTTGGTATTAAATGTTCATTCATTGTAGACAGTTGTCCTGTGGCCTTTGTTGTTGCACTAATAATTATAAAGTAATGTAACAAAGCAAATTCTTCTTTTCGCTCAAGCGCTGACTGCTAAGTATGTAAGAGTGCATCTACAGTTTCCTTAGAAATTGCATACAAAGCACTGGAAAGCAGCCAGGCAGATGTTTGGAAATGGCACATTCACAGACTGAAAATTTAACTATTTACAGCCAAGCAAGACTGAACAGCAGAATCAGACCATTTAATTTGAAATATCTTTTAAGACCCAGCTATGGCTGATAAACACGTTTATGGCTTTCATCTCACAGTACTGACAGCTCAATTCCCACATGACTCCTTGCTCTCCAGTGACAGGCTGCTATAAAGAATTCACAGGTTAAGAGAAACACAGTACTTTGGCAGATCAGACCCACAAGTTTAGATGAACACAAACTTTTTTGCACAGTTTATCTTACCTAATGCCAACTGTCTCAAAGTACAGCTATTTTGAATACATGATCAAGCTTCTCTTACACTGACATGGCAGCAACCTTCTGCTCCAATAAAGCAAATATCAGTATCTACTGCTGCAGATAATTACTAGTTTTCCCAGTTACTCTGACAGCAGCCAGCATTTAAGAAATATGTGGTATTATTTACCCAAAGCTGTGATTGAGACTCTTCTACTTGTGGTAACTATTCACATGCTCATTAATGGAAATGGATTAAGGGAATTCTGCCACTAACACTTTAGCCTAGAGATAGGAAGGTACACTACAAGTTTTTGTAGATGAAAGGGGACAGCTACAGAAGGCACTGTGTTCAGCCTGGAATGTGATAGGAACAAAACTGATAGGAGTGATATAACACTGACATATAAGGATGGTTGCCTTCACATAAATGCTATTAAACATACAAAGATGCTATGGGTATTAACCATTTGACAACCGATAACAGCTGCAAGGAAGGTGTATAGTATTCATACTGTACATATCTTAGCTTTCTACTCATCCCAGATCATTAAAGCCACTAATATGAAGTTCAAACATGCCTATGTAGGGACTCCAAAAAAGAGCTCAGACAGTTCCCAACAAATTAATCTGCCTTATCTGGCAGCAGATTATCCATAGACAAGTCTGGGAATATACAAAATTATAATTTATATTTCACATTTGTCAGTATTTATATATATGCATATATATAATTGTTTGATATCGTCTATCCTTTCTTTATCTACATATCTGTATCCCATAGTCTCATAAAAAGCTGAGCTGTGACACTCAATTTTGATAGAGCATAGAAATTGCACAGTGTCCTCATCAAAACTCCTTCCCGCAGTTCCTCATCCTGGGCAGTGTAATACATTTACTTCATCAAAATTCATAAGGTTCTCCTGCTTCAGTCATTCTGATGTCACTAATGATAGTGAACCATAGAACAGAGTAAATGGTGAGTGACAACATGCTGATGCAGCCTCCAATAACACATGCAAGATTAAACAAATTAAAAACAACCAAAAAAAGCCTTAGAACTTACTGTCCAAAACTTTATGAAGTACTGCAAGACTGTAGCAGCAACAAACAAACAGTACAGTAAGGAATACATTAAAAACAGGAGGAAGAATTTGTAGTTAGAAAATCCCACACAATTATTGACCCTAGAAGGAGGGGAAAGAGAAAAAGGTTACTAAGATATACAAAAAATAAAACAAACAAAAACCCACAATACATTGTAGAGCAAAATGTGCATGATGTCAGTGATATGTCCAAAACATTCTGGCACCAGTGTTTCAGAAGCATTTTAAGCCACTGTTTTGAAGGAAATTTCTCAGGCTGAATGATCTGACATGAATTTTGCCCCCCATGATTCTGTAGGACAGGACAGGGCCTGGCAAAGCGTTACAATACAGACAGTCCATACGGGAAGCAATTCTCACTACAATCTAACTGCAGTCACCACAGAAAGTAACAGGAACCTTGCCATCAATTTCAGTGCATGCTGCCTTGGTTACAAAACCACCTCTAAGTCAACTAGTGGTAGTAATGTTTTTCACAGTGATAGCAGAGAATATGTTTACTAACTACCAGTGAATAAAAACTGCAGAAGAGTCTGAGTGGGTCATACACATCATCTAGAATCCAGAAATTACTCTCCCATTGCAGTGGGTATCTCCTCTCCTGCTAACACCAACAGAGTAAACAAAGGAAAGAAATGGATTTTCTCACAGCTCTTGTCAATGTCAAGGTTTCTCTATACAAGGAGAAACTACATTATTTGGACTACTGGGCTTACAGATTTACACAGCATCATACATTTATTCCCACATATTAAAGAACTTCAGTGGAAATAAAGGTTTACTCCAAAGTGCATTTTTGAAGCAGCATCTAATTCATCATTCTTATACTGTTTTTTGTAAAAATAAACTTACCATGGACAGTGGTGGTCCATTTTTAAGACACATCTGAAAGAGAGAATTTCCAGCAAGTTAAGAAAAAAAACCCATTTTCTTTCCAATATACGTAACTTTAGCTTCTACAGTTTCAGGTGTTGTTTTTTAATGATTTTTTTCAAGTATTTTGCCCTAGTGTATCTTTTTCAAGCCCTTCTCAATTCATACCAATTCTCTTGATTAGAGCAGCTGTTCTTTCACCCGAAAGGACCAATCAAGATTCAGAAGACTTAAGAGAAGAGTTTCTTAAATTAGCATGGGGAGCATTACAGAGCAACACCATGTAGCAGTTCATTAAGCCACACAAGTTTTATGTGCACACAGAGAAAACAAATCAAAATAATCTGTCAGGGCTGTGTGGATAAGGTGTGTTAGCCTGGCATTCACTTCAGCTAAGTCTACCTTAGAGCTATTTTTTCTACCATTTTGTTTGCTGCTTGTCTTTTTTTTTCTTAAAGCTAATGGAGGAAAAGATCAGCACAAAGGGCAATTTGAATAGTTCACATGCCACTTTAATCTAGTTTTAAAGTAAAGACCAATACTGGACATTTCAGACACAGAGACATTCATTGTATTTTCTAACAAATTTGATTTTAGCCAAAAGATGTGTATTAGGTTCTCCAGTTAATGAGATTTCCTCAAGTTCAGCCTACTGAAGTCTCATGCATAGCCTCAGCCTTCAGTGCCTGTGCAGACTCCTCTGATGATTCACACTGAAAATAGGGAATAGCAGTGATGTTTTTGAAATGTTAAAGGCATATGATTTTACTGTCAATTTTTGAGATAAACCTTTTTAGCAGAACACATCTGTTTCAATGCTACAGAAACAAGACACAATGAAACAGTTCAATAATAAGCTTTCGCTGGCGCCTGTATCTCAGACCTACCTTTCTTTACTTTCAGTCTATATGATCTTTTACTTTTTAATTAATTAATTTTTAAATATAAGCTTTGTTTTACAAAGCTACCAGCAGGTTTCCTAAAAAGTTCTGCCACTTTAGACAATTGGGCTGTACCATAATATTGCACCAACAGAAGGAACTGACCCACTGAAGACATGAACACACTAAAGTGATGATTGCAGGAAAGAGAAAATCTGTAATTCTAGATTCAGACACTTACACGTCACATGCAGAACAGTGGTGGCAGCGGTCAGGTTTGATCAGCTGGCATCGATCACAGTATCTGATTGCTGTATTTAAGTGCAAGGGTCAGGTCAATAGAACTCATCTGATTTTATGAAAGCTTTCCCCCTTAACATGAACTGAATCCTAAAAGAGCTTCCTGCCCTCCCCTGCCACACCTGTTCTCACAGACTGTCACACACCTAATCTCATATGATATGTAGTTTTGATTTTTTAAGAAATGTGACATTTGAAAGTATTCAAAAGTATCTATTACTAGTCTGCTGAGTCCATTTTCATTTACTCTTTGACTCCCCAGTCTTCCCATCCTTCATCCGCTGGCACTGCTCCCCCTTTCACCTCTGCTCAGGGTACTAAGGCATCTCACTGTGAAACTACATTCTTTCAGCAAGTCAACCTTCTGCACTGGCCTTCTCTATCCACTCCACCAAACAATGATCTAGCAGACTGTTCAGTAAATCAGTTCTTCCTCATCTTTCCTGGATATTTTTAAACAGTCCTTCAGGTTTTTCTCAATGGAAATAAGATACCAGTACAGGCAGTTTGAAAGCAGGAATAAAGCCAACACCTACAGCTAAACAGAATTGATAAGAGCTGGCAACAGCTTCCCAGACCATTCCAGGAGCTTAAGACTGGGATTCTCTTGAATTCAAAAGGGCCAGGTGTCCTTAGACTTTCTTTAGAAAAGTCACAGTAAACTTTGGCAATGGTTATTCTGAGAAGTTTACATTCTTGGAAACTCTACAGGGTTGCTAGTTTCAAGAAAGAGAAAAAGATACATACACATATAAAAGCTACAGATTTTTAAAGAATATACATATGCATAAGACAGCACTTTCACAGAACATTCATCTATAAATTGGAATAAAATGCCTACATATATTAAAACCAAATCCAGAAACAGTGATAACTAGATTTGTACTGCATTGCAGATGGGAATGAAATAACATTTAATTGTTTTTAAATTGCAAAAGTATGTTAAGATCTTAAGTATGTTTCTCCTCATGCTGAACCAAAACAACTCAAAAAGAAAAGAAATTTAAGTGAGGATAAAAGTGATTATAAAATTGAGCAACACATGATTTTCCTTTTTTCAAGCTATCTTAGCTATATTCGTTTGCTGTGGTTACTTTTAATTGCCACAGCTGGAGATAACTGCTGTCATCTCTCTTCTTGCTAGAAGATATATTTTTTTAAAATTTCAAGTAGTGGCTTTATGTTGAGAACCCCAGAAAAAGGACTGCTCTTTCTCTCAGGAGGATTAAACACCAGGACAAACAAATTACAAAACATCACAGCATTTGCAATATGTCCTTAATATATTGTTTATTCAGTGGCAACAAATGAATAAAATACCAACTTCAGGAGAATAGAATTATCTTTATATCTCACCTCTCGATGCTGTTGTCGTATAGATAGGCAAGTCTTTGGCAGCTCTTCTTAAAATCTCCTGCTGGGATTCTGGTCTCTCTTCTTTTTCATATTGTTCTTTATCAGCTTTTGACAAGCAGAACTAAGAGGGATGTAGAAAATGGATAGGAGGGGAAAGATTAATTATTACTTTGCTTTCCAAGGAAAAGACCATTTGGATGTTCCCATTCACTGACCCAAAAGCACCACATAAACAAAAAAAAGAATGCTACAGGAATTACGGGAGATCCTTAGAACTCCTAAGTTTCTGGATGTATTCTGGATGTATTTTCAAGAAAATAATCTTTATCTCTGTTCCATTATCTATAGTAGTTTCTCTTCAACACAAGGGAACAGAGACTCAGAGTGAACTTTAAGGTACAAACTTTCCTTTAATTCATAATAAGCATAATTTAAGTGAACTGTGAACAAGAGGAAGGTGCAACAGTCCTTTGCTGCTACAAGGCACTGAAGTTCTCTTATCCCACTTCCTCTCTAACATAGAGAGGGGTACAAACCAGATGGGGGAAAAAGAAGGCAGGCAAGGGGTGTGGTGAACTTCACAGTTCCAGCACAGAAGCTGGAAGAGTTTAACTGAATTTTTAACTCGGGAGTAGTCAACACTAGTCTCAAAATTCTTAAATTGTATTGAAAGCAACTGTACAGTTTGAGAATGTGCTACAATTCTGAGTAAAGCCTGACAAGCATTCCTGTTGAAACCTCACTGAAATGTAAGCGTTTACCAGAAAATCCTGGAGAGCTTTTATTCATTTGTGAAACACTTAGTTTGGTATCCGCTGAAACAGTATTTCCCAGCAAGACCCACAAAACCCAGCGTGCTGACAAGGCTTGGTGCAGTGGGGGCTGAAATGACGATTTCCTTTGGTATTTTTCTGTTCCAAAGCACTTCTAAACTCTGAGCTTCCTGCATGGACTACAAGAGCCCTCTTTATGAGCACACATAGACAAAGCATTCATGGTAGAGAGTGGAAAATGCTATGTGTGCAGCTGGAACAAAAACTGGCTTAGTGTGGTTTAATATGATCGCATTTTCCGACCAAAAACATGTGCATGATTAGTTCACATGGATTTTCCTCTCATCCCGTACTTTTTCCTCTTTTGGATTACAGTCAGTTGGCAAGCAACAAGGAAGACTCCACTTAGAGCAAAGAGGAAGCAGTAAGACATTGCTGCAATTTCTGCTGCTATTTCCTAACCCAGAATGCAAGCAAGATGCCTCACAGCTCACAGGATCTAGTTAAGCCTCCTGTCACATGTAGTACTATCCCACTTATTGCACCTACATACTCTTCAAGGGTGAAACATGAAACACCCTTTTAAATAACCAGACACTAGAATTAATCTATGCGAAAGGTGAAATTAAAGTTTAACATTTCAGCCGTCACCAAGAGTTTGACCTAATTATTTGCATTTAACCACTCAGATCGATATTTATTCAAGCATGAAAAATGGAGACACTCACATCTAAAGTTTAAGACAGATGTGAAGCATAATTCCAGCAAACAGTAGTGCAATACACCTTAATCCCTACTACCCCTGTGAGTCTGCCAGGTGACCCAGATCTCTGTGACCTGCAATCAAGCAGAGGTTGCAGGAAACATGAGTACTCCCTCTATATGACGTTTCAAGGCAAAGCATTCGTGTACAGAAAAGGAACCCAACAAAAAGATTTAAAACTTTTTAAATTTGTCCATGTAACATCATAATATTACTCCAAAAATCCTGGATAGGATTTTGGTTTTCTGCATTTCTATTCTAATTTCAGAACTTAATAGGGCTATGAGACCACAGTCTCTCAAGACAATAGCAGGATATGTTCAAAGGCATCAAAAGTTGTCTGTTACCACACAGCAAACAGAATTCCCAGTGAGGTTCCAGCAGTTCTTACTGAAAACAGAAAGAATCCCTTTGTTTCCTTCCTCTTTCTGGATCTTGTATAATGCTGATTGTTCTTTCTTAGGACAAATGCACAGGGATTACACTAAGACAACAGCAGCTGCAGAATCTTACTTTTAGTTCAATAGTAAGATCACAGGATGCTATTTGTTTTGCAAGAATAGCCAATTTGAATGATTAAAAATATATATATTTACACTCTCACACAATGGAGAAATAATGAAGTCATGTATCTCTAAGTATAAATGGCATAAATTACTCACTAGTACATGAACAGAAGGGATTTGCCCAGAAACAGAAAAAGTGGTGCTGGGTTTTAAAGTTTGTTGTTTTTTTGCTTTTTTAAACTTAAGTGTGTTTTTTTGTTGTCCTGATGGAAGAGGTTTTTTTTCTTTTTTAACTTAAAGCCAGCTGTAGAAGAAAATTTTATTAAATCTGATCTCTCTCCACAGTTAATATACAAAAAATTCATTACATGCCATATGCCCAAGCCATCCCTTTCACTTGCTAAATACAAAAGCCTGCTACATCATCACTGTAACTACAGGAAAATACTGTCAGAATAAGTTTGCTATTAATGAAGAACTCAAGAAGACAGTAAAAGTTACTAGGCATTAGCACTAAGAGCAGCTCTAGTTCATATAGCTTTATAAAACCTAGAATAACACCATTTTGACCATGTTTTAACTAGTTAACCTGCTTAACTCAACCATTTTCCTGGAAAAGTAAAACCAAATTACCCTGAAGACAAGTCCCTTTGAATTTTTAGGTTTAGCAATTCATAGAATCATTTAGGCTAGAAAACATCTAAGGTCATCAAGCCCAGCCATAAACCCAACACTGCCAAGTCCACCACTGAAGCACATCCCCGAATGCCACATCTATAAATGTTTTAAAACCTCCAGGGATGGGGATATAACCACCTCTCTGGTCAGCCTGTTCCAGTGCTTGTGACAACTGGCCTTTCAGTGAAGAAATTTTTCCTAATAGCCAATCTAGACCTCCCCTAGTGCAACTTGAGTCCATTTTCTCTTGTCCTATCGCTCGTTACCTGGGAGAAGAGACAGACCCCCATCTGGCTGCACCCTCCTTTCAGACAGTTACAGAGAGCAGTAAGGTATCCCCTGAGCCTCCTTTTCTCCAGAATAAACACCCCCAGGTCACTCAGCTGCTCCTCATAGGACTTGCGCTCCAGACCAACAGCTTGTGCTCCAGCTTCAACAGCTGCATTTAGACTTTTTGCTTAGCTAAACAGCAGAATAGTGTTTAGCTGTTTACACTTTATATTCTGTAACTTTAACATACAGATCTCTAAGTCATAATTAAGCATTATAGAGCAGTGTTTGCTTTTTTCTTCAAAACATGTCACAAGAATGTTTGTGAATAACACGAATAACTCCTCTCAAGAATGTTTAAGGTTTACATTAGCACTGAATGTCACTCTTGCTGAAAACAGAATAAAAATTCAACCCCCACAGAGCAGCCAACACCCCAAACAGTTTAGGCAGTTTAAAAGCTCTGTTAATACAAGGAAGAGAAATGCAATATTTTAAATTCAGTGCCTGAATTTAATCCTTACATACACACACATTAGAGAAAATGGAAAACAAGGTAATCCATCTCAGGCTTATTGGAATTAATATGGTTCTTTTTAAAAACAAAACTTCATCATGCATTCTTTTGCTATTATATAAAGCTTCTTTGTGTAGTCATTCTCAGTGTTCCTAAACTTTAACCCTTGACTAAAAAGTGAGTTCAGTCATCCAGGTCATAAGTATACATAGCATTACTACCCTTTCTTAGTCAAACAATATTCAAACTGCCTGAAAAGGAAACATAAAAATGCTATCACTGTATTTCATTTATAAGTTTTAAAAAAATCCAGATTTTAAGCAAGCTACTTCATAGCATAGTACTGTACAAGACTGCTAAACTTTTGATGGTTTAAGCACACATTTCGTACAAGGAAATGTCATTACACAAAGCATATGGTATTTTAAGATTAACTTGTTCATTTTCATTCATGATACACTGTCATGCTGTTCTATTTTAGACAATGAGAAGGGAAAGGTGAATCATGCAGTACTGCAAACAAATTTAATCACTGAAAACAGTTCAGCTATTTATAAAAAAGGCACTGACATTTACATAACATTATACTTACCTCATTAGAGGGGGTTGCAGGAGATGTGAAAATTGTCTTCCCATAGGACCATACAAACATGACGAATGACAGATGAAAAACTACAAGGTAGACAACTGCAATAAAACACAAATAAGAATTTGGTGAATGCATCTGAAAAGAACAAAAAATAAACCCCTTGATCTTTGAGGAGAGCTAAACAACTACACTTAGTACTCTAGAAATGTTCACTTAAAAGAAATTAAATAAACACCCACCCTCACTCCCCAAATGTTATAGCTGATCTTCCTCAAGGAAATAATGTTTTTATTATAGATTACAAAGTGACCTTGAATGCTTCCAGGGATGGAGCACCCACAACTTCTCTGGGCAACCTTTGCTGCTGCCTCACCACTCCCACAATAAAGAATTTCTTTCTAATACCTAACTTATACCTGCCCTCTTTCAGTTTGAAGTCATTCTCCCCTTGTCCTATCATTCCATGTCCCTGTAACATGTCTTTCCCCAGGACTCCTGTAGTCCCCACTTCAGGTACTGGAAGGTGCTATTAGGTCTCCCTGGAGACTTCTCCAAGATAATAAGCCACAGCTCCCTTAGGCTGTCTTCAGCTGGAGAGGTGCTCCATTCCTCTGATCATCTTTGTAGCCTCCTCTGGATTTGCTCCAATAGGTCCATGCTCTTCCTGTGCTGTGACCCCAGAGCTGATGCAGCCCTGCAGGTGGGGTCTGAGCAGAGCAGAGGAGCAGAATCCCCTCCCTGGCCCTGCTGCCTACACTGCTTTGGATGTAGCCCAGGACACCACTGGTTTTTTGGGCTGCAAGCACATGCTGCTGAGCCATGTGGGGCTTCTCATCAACCAACACCCCCATGTCTTTCCCCCCAGACTGGATTGATTCTCAATCCATTCTCTGCCCAGCCTGTACTTGTGCTTGGGATTATCCTGACTCATGATAGGACCTTGATGAACTTTCCAAAGCAGATTTTGCAGGAGAAAACAAATTGACAAAACCCACCCCCTAAAAACCAATCAAAATACACCACCAAAAAAAGCCCCCACAAAACAAAACCATACCCTCTTCCCAAAACAAACAAACCAACCAAAAAACCCCAAACACAAAAGACCCAAACCTCAGAATTGAACACAGCTTCACTTCTGGCATGTAAGTGACTGACCTTTTTGGATAAAGATGATGCTGAAATTCTGTTCTAGATTATCACAAAGTAATTGATTACTTACTGACCTACATAATTAAATTTAATTTCTACTTCTAACAGAAACAGCACAGTACTGTGCCATTACAGAAGGCACTGGTCATGAATGACAGTTAAAATCCTCAAAAAGGGATTTGGAGAGTACCACACTCCAGTCATGCCAGAGTGAGTTAAAGATTTTCTTACTATCTTCTCTCAAATCATCTGAGAAATACAAGCTGGAAAAGTCCTATTACAGTCACAGTGGCAAAAAAATGTAGCTGGGTTTAGGAGGGAGCTCAATAAATTTTCTATGAGTATACATGATATTGCTGTCTTAAAGACCAGAAATGCAGACCTTATGACCCAGGAAGCTCCTTCCAATCTTGTTTCCTCTAAAGGTTTCTTTTATCACTTGTCAAGAGGAAACAGATCAGTTGTGCCAGAACAGCAAATCTTAGAGAAGTCACATTAAATATTTATATTATCTTCATTTATATTATCTTCAGTTGCAGTAAAGTAGGGAATTTGACCTACTTTTCTGTACAGATAGAGTACTTTAAGAAGCTGTATGATGTACTTAATGGATAGCAAAAAAGTCTCAAAATTTTGGGAACCTCCAACAGCTCAGAAAATGCTTGTGCACAGTGACAGAAGACATGGCTTTAATTTATCATCTTTCAGGATTTTCACTGTTTATTGCAATGAAAACAAACAAATTGCATTTGAGCTTTTGTCAGAGAATTCTTTTTACCTTTGCCTCTGATTCCTCCAACCTCATAGGCAGACTTGGCAAATTTTCAGCTGTGGAGCTGATGGAAAATGCCAGAAACAAAACCCTTTTCTAAAGCCATCCTAAATCGGTTGCCTGACAGGAAAGAACTTGTGTATAACTGTACTAGGCACTGCGTTATTAGAAGTTGTCTGTTATGAAAAGCATATTCTACATTCAAACACAATGTGGTTAAGCAATTAAAGAATGAGAAAACGGTTTGGAAGCGAAGAGAAAAGGACATAAAACTGGAGTGGAATCAGTGGCACAGATCAGAACTTTGGTGGCAAAGAGGGCAAGAGAAATTGAATAGAAGGAAATAGGAAATGAGATACAGGGAAGGGCAAGGCACAGCAAAACTAACTTACACAGTAAACAGTTCTACTCTGTCCATAAAAATCACACCAGAATTCAGATGCTTTTGAAGGATTATTTTTAGTGTGCACACAATGCATCACACAGGAGAACCTCAAAGCTTTTTCACAGACTGTAAATGCCCCTAAAACCCACAGAATAACAGGGACCACAGCCAGCTGCATCAGGGTACAGATCTGTGCCAGTGCTACCAGTATTTATTAGATATAGGCATGTTATTAAAGTGCTTTTCATGTAACTGAGCTCTTGCAATCTGTCACCATCATTAAAACCTAGGGCCAATAGTCAGTAGCCACTGATGGGCACTACCCAGGGAAAGACCCTGCAACTGGCAGTCCATAGTGGCTTCCCTCTGAATAAATTCTTGCTTCTTTTCCTACACCCATGCTGCCTTTCCTACTGTGATTACGCATAACTGTCCTGTCAGTGCTCCCCAGGAAATGAGAGGGAGGGAAGATACCATTTTTAACAGCTTTACTTTAGCAGTCCATCTACCCACCACTTTGGGTATCAGTAGCTCCTCTGCAAGCTACTCCCTGAATCATCTTGTGTCTGTTTTCAGAACAAATGGAAACCAGATTAATTCCTAGTCAGCTCATTTTCTTGTAATTACAAGCCGGATGGAAAATACAACAAAAACTTCAAACCCCAGTATCTGCCAGTTTAGCCAGACTCAGAGTCACAAAGAAGTCCTGGCTAAACTAAAGCAACCCAGGATTCTCAGTGCCGTGATGCAACCTAGTGAAGTCAGTTCTCTTCAAAAGGCACTGATGCATACTATACCAAATTTATGGCCTCAAGAAGACAATGTCTTAAGACATGCTCTCAGAAGTCTCCTAAAATATGCTACACTCTCCTGAGATTTGCCCTTAACATTCTTTTCTGAATCATTCTTAACTCTACTTTCAAGACAGAGTCAGATTACAGAGAGGCAATAATATATAACATCAGTATAATACACTGTTAATAGAGATTCAGAGTTGACTTTATTTCTCTATCCTGATGGATATAAAACTAGACAAGAATATAAAATTACAAAGAAAAAATGAGCCTTAACGGAGTGAAGAAATCACCACTAATTTAATCAAAAGCTGCCATTACATTCAAATAATTTTTCTGCACTACTTATTGCACTGAAATATGGAGCAAAACACACTTGCTAAGATGCACATTATTGATTTACATAGTAATGTTTCTGGTACTTTGGTCCTTCAACTCTTCTGATGGTGATTTCTGGTTACCATGAGCTGGCTTATAAGAACTTTAGAAAACTTATGCCAGCTTTCTTTTCAAATGAAAAGAGACTTCACATGTCATTTTAAAATCAACTTTCATAGTTGATAAATTCATGCCTATGACATGATTCAGAATGGGAGGTGCAAGCAGCATGCAGGTGACAGCTATTAAGAGCCTAACAGGTTCCAGTGATACTGTCACTCTCATTAATTAATCTCACATCTTCCCTTCTCTGGTAGATTTAGAAGAACCTGTTCCAGTCAGATAGGCACTGCATTTGAAATAGAGATCTGACTGTGTGACACAAACATTGCTCTGCCAGACTTCCTTAACTGATACATGACTCTTGCTTTTCCAGAAGAAATTGGAAAGTAAAACTTATTATTTTATTAAAGTAAAACTTATTATTATTAATGTACAGGTCAACAGTAAGTACAGCAGCAACTTGCAGAATTTTGTGAAGTCAAGGTAAAGCCCAGCTGTAAAATGGGATGAAAAAATCCAGTGTAACACAAACTCACACCTTGAATGGCTTACAGTTTATTTTGAAGATTTTCCTACTCTTTCAGCTCTCCATTAGAAATTAAAAAACAACAAATTCCATCAAGATTCCTTCTTTTTACAATGTTCTGGTAGACATTCACCAGGAAGAAAACTGCTAGATTAGCTTCCAGTTCTGTGCTCTTTTGCAAAATATTTAAGAGATGAGAGCTTTTACCAGTCTGAAACAACCCTCTGTGGATAATTAAAAGTGCAAATCTGTGCTTAATCTACCACTCATGTTCCCCCATAAACTGGAATAAACTCCCAAACAAATATCCCAGCAACAATACGCTAGAATTTTTTTTTGGTTGGTTTTTAACTCTATCACTGTGTACTACTACCCACTGTGGCTTAAACTTGCTAAAACCAATATGAAGATTAAAATTTCTCAAAATAAAGCCTCAAACACCTGACCTGGAAATTTAAAATTATAATGTGTAGCCATTTTTGAAATGGTTGTGTTTTGCACAATTCTAACTACTCCTTAAGAATGGAGTTCTGAGGAATTTGGTGGGCTTTTTGGAAAATATTAAGCAGTACAACAACAATTCATCCTCTTCCAGAAATCTTTCAGGTCACAGGCCTAAACAGAAAATGGAATTGTGGATGTGCTGCAGTTCCTTCTGTCTTCTTTTTCTGTTCTTAGTAGGTACCCATTTAAAAATAAATGCAAACTTAAATCATAAGTTGCATTACTTGGATTAGTCACAGGTCTTGTCATCATCCCAAGTTTATGGTATTAGAAACAAAGTAATATTTACCTTGTTTCTTAGCACTAACCTACTCACCACACAGAGCTCACACATTAAAGAGTACATTTAAACTCCACGTCCCTTAGGATTTGCATGCAAAGCAGCTATTCACATCTTCATAAAAACTTAAAAAAATTACCTTTTTCGGCAGTTGAAGAAATAGTAACTGGAAGAGGAAAAAAAAAAAAAAGTTAGGTAAATTTGTACAGAATTAAATAATTAGCTAAAAGTGAGATAAGTGAGATATACAAGGTTGTTGACTTGTTTCAAAGCATATTTCAGGTGTTAGCAGAGCCTCCCCACCCAATACTGGGGTAAAACAAGAGTCAATACTCCTCCTGCCAGCCCTTGATGCTTGGTGAGTACTGGAAGAGCTGAATGGATGCAGCTCACCAGGCTAATGAAGCAAAGCACATTCCAAAGACAATACTTAGACAGAATTTATGCATATTTCCCTTCCTATATGCTGCACCTAACTCATTTTTCTGAGTCAACAGCTAGGCTAACAGGTGTACCATGGGAAAGCAGAAAACAAAATTAGAAGTTCTTACAGAAATCCCTGTGAAACGGTTACACATAACCTTCTTCCTTTAATTTCCCTCCCCTCTCCACTTGTCTCTTCCTGTTACATACTATTATTTGCTTTTTTCCCCCCTGACCTGAATTCTTCACGCATAGTTAAAATCTCTCCACCTCCTTATCTCCTATAGCCTCATCTCCTTTTACGACAACAGCAAATTCCATTGTTCAGATCTACCTTGTACACTGCCTGATTAGTACATCTTCCTGCCCTCAGGCTTCTCCAAAACCTTCACACTCAGTTTATCGGTTCAGGGATGATGCTGAAGAGAAAGCTGCTGTACTTGTTGGTTGCTGTGTTCATATAACTTCCCTTGCTGGATTTCTTCCTTGGACATTGAATGACTGAAACTCAGTGAGGAAGGGATCCATCCTGATTCCATCTTACACAGTAAATTTAAGCTTCTGGTCACCAGCAAAATCTTAAGAGGGCACACTGTGCCTCCTGCAGTTTAGCTCACTACACACTGCTTCCTCTCTCCCAGCTCTGACAGTTCTACTGTCATTAATCTGTGCAACAATTCCAAAGAGCTTTCTCCAGATGCACATTAGACTGCTAAATCTGCAGGGCCTGAGTGTGCATTGTAGATTTCCTTCTGAAGGGCAGCTTTGTTACAGAGGTGACATTTGTCACTTACCTGTAGATATCTACAGGGAAAGGGTCTACAACCACACTATGCACCTGTGCCTCTTTTCATGGGCAACAAGAGGCACTATGAGATGATACTTCAATGTATAGATGACCTCTTTTTGTTCAGATATGTTTTAGGGTTTTTTCCTTCTTTCTTGCCCCCCATCCCTTTCCATTAATTATCCACCCTCTGTCTGTACACAGAAGCCTCTGCAAAGTTAATGAAAAAGGCTCCGATTCCTTCCACTTAAAGGAGGAAGAAATTACCATTTGGGATAGAACAATGCTGCCTTCAAACTCAAGGAGGTCAGTCCTAAAGAACAGCTTCATTTCACATTAGTTATGCATACTTGCACAGCCTGCTCCCATGTTTCTGCCTGGAAATCCAGTGCACACTTCAGGAGTCAATTTATTTTTAAAGCAAATCCTGTGAGAGTTTTTGCTTAAAATTTTACTAATGTGTTATTTCTCCAGTTAAAATGTTTTCAACAACGCAAGGAGAAGAAAAAACTTATTTTAAAAGTGAGAAGTAAAATAAGCTTGCAAAGTATGTTTAACTTTAAAAAATACTAAAAGTATTATAGACTTAACTTTGCCTTTGGCTCCTCATATCTTAAGTAAACACCTTTGCACACATTCATTTATACACATATATTTCCTTGGACAAGAAATATAAAAAAGTTCTTAATTATCCTCTGTTGGGGGTGGGAGAACATAGTTATCTATAAAACTTCAGGATGTCTGGATGTAATTGTCATTAAAGTACTCCTTAATCTGTAGCCTAATTTCTGCTCTCAGCACAAAACAAAGCTGTGAGCCAAATCTGAGGACTCAAAATAATGAACAGGTTTTGCATGCAAAAACAAGGCAAAAAAAAGACAATATTTTATCACACGTGGGACTTCATCAAAAAGATTCCTAAATAACCTTCAAAAAATTACTTAAGCTTCACAGCACCAGGAAGATAATTTTGCTTTCATACATAGGTCCCTTAGGTTAGAATGCAGTTATTAGACTGTGTAGAACAATTTTAATTTGAGAAACTCCTGCAGTTTGAGGTAAAAGCCAACATGGAAATGCTTATGACTTTCATCCTGTCTTAACACCCTCAGATGAAATAAAAGATGTCCTGTCCTCTTCTGTCTCAGAGGCTCATGCAAGTTAATGTTACTGTTTCTATCCTTTTCACAGTTCTAATGCCCACTGTCAGGTGGATTAAATGAACAGCAACCACACTAGTCCAAATCTACTCAGCAGATGGCACATGTACAGTTTTACAGGATCTTTATACTACAAAGCAAAGCCTTTCTTCACATAAGTTAATAGTCAATCTTTATGTAAAAATGACTTTTTAAGTATTTGCTAGGCCGGCCATGTAACAAGAAGCTTTGTAGCATCAATAAATCAATTCTTGCTTTTGAACTCTACATTGGGGGAAAAAACCTCACAGAACATGACATTGCCATTATGGGCCCCATCCCTGGCCTGTAGTTACAAGTTTGCTCCATATCACTTTTCTCCTCTACTGCTTGTGATGTTTCGATGGCTGCCAGCTTCTCCTAAATTAGTGCCATTTTCACTTCAAACATTTTTGAAATATGGTCTCTTGTTTGGGGAAAAATCCCAAGGCAGCACTGCCTTTTTGCTTATTGATTTTCTTTAACAAAATAAACATTGCTTATGATTTAAATGTTAACCTCAGGATGCAACAGCACTATACACTAGATAGATGCATCAGCAAAAGTTAGTGCCTTAAGCACTGCAATCAACACAAACTGTTAATGATTCAGATACATAAGTGGTGTAAAACAGCTGCTCTTTTAAGGATTTTAAGATATATTGCCATATCAGTCTACTGATCAGCTACAAAAGGAAAAATATTCTTTGGATTTGTTTCTTAATATTAAGTTCCTGGTTTGTGAGAAGACTTATGAAGTTCTAGAAAGATATTGCCAGGGAAGGATAAAACATTATCATATAGTAAAAGCTGCAGTTTACTTCAATGCAAAGAGCTCAGAAGGAGGAACTTGCATGCTCAGGCACACAGAGTTTTCACTATGGCCTCAGAATTTTCAGCCTCTCAGTGCTACAGCACCAGGGGAGTTGAACAAAGTGAACAAGCCCTGTCTATCTGACTGCAGTGCAGAGCTTTATCTTGGCTACCTCGGGTTTTCCAAAATCAGTCCAAGGAAGGAGTGTAGCAAACCTGTCTGTAAAGAGAGGCAGACAGGCTTACACTGAACTTCATGCTGCTGCACCTTGCCCAGAAACACACAGGTGCAACACACTGTCGCTGGTCCATTGAGCAGCTTACACACTGGACCTCCCAACATTCTGGGGTCCCTCCAAGATGAAGCACACAATTTGAAGTATGTGGAATTCCTTTCTACGGATTACCTCTAAAATACACCATACAGCCTATATTAGGCTAGATTCAAATGTACTTTATAACTCTGTCCACTTAGGGGACAAGCCCAAATTGCACATTTGACTTTCACAGAGGAAAAAGTAGTTTAGTTTTGATTTAGACACTTAGCATCAACCCTGGCAACAAAGACACTCTTTCCTTTATGACGCCAGCTGTTGGTTACACTTTCCTAGATACTCTTCCTCACATTGTTGTCTGTTATCTTTCACCTCACCTATGTCACAAGAATGAAAGAGGCAGGAGCCCACAGTTTTATCACAGGAAACAATCCTGGAGACACAGGGACATCATTAGCTGTGTAACAAATGAAACTGGGGGAAAATGTCACTTGTTGGAAGCATTCCTCTTGGAGTGTGAAGTGATAGAAATGTCAACTTCAGCAAGCTTTGGAGCATTTTTAAAGTTGTTTCAAGGAAACAATCTCAGAATATCTCATCTCTAAAAGAAAAATATGTTAGGGAGCTGGTTTGCTTTTAGTTTCAGGCTAATTTTTAGGGCTGCTATGACGTGTTCAAGCATCTTCCAACTTACTGTGTAATAGGAAAAAACCAAATCTCTCTATTCTGAGGCAAGGAGGTGCTATGATCTCCCAAGACCTTGCAAGAGGCATGCTAAAAGACATTTATCTTCAGGCTTGGAATAAACTCCCCCCTCCCCAGTCACATCTTCCTACTCCCCTAAAAGTCATGTTCCAACCATAGCTAGATATGCTTCTTGCAGAGGAAGAAATTCAACTCCAACTAATATAGAAGTATAGCAAAGGACAAGAACTGATCTTGTTACTGAAGGGCTATGCTTATTTCCCCACCCACACCCACGATGGCTCTTAACAGGAGTCATACTTCGGTTATTCCAGCCATTCCACAAATTTCAAAGTAACATTCACATTTTGGCTGACATTCCTTAAGGGTGGGAAGAAGGACTGATAAAAGTGTAGTTGCATCCCTTCACCAGCTACACAGCCTTAACTTCTCAGCTTTTCATGAAAAGGGCACAAATAAACAAACAAACAAATAAACAAACATAAATATATACATACATAGATACATATCTATACATACACACACGTATTTCCAGAAGTTACCAGTACTGAAATGCAACAGAAACCCTCTACAGGCACTGCCCTGTCTGCAAATGCAAGCACCACTAACAATCTCACTGTTCAATTTGTTCAGAAAATGGCGTTTTATTGAAAGTGTAGCTTAGATTTATGGTAACATAATTTCCATTTGCAAAAGCAGACATTAATCAGTCACAAGAGGCTGATAGAAACTATTTACTGATACAAGCAGGACAATGAGTAAATTTCGGTGAGCAAATACTCATTTGGCTTTTGTTACAGGGCAGCAACAGAACACGAAGACCTTAGCACTTCTCCACTGCTCTCTAAAAGCCTTAATTCTGTGACCTTCCCACACTGAGATATTTCTTATTTCCCACTGGCAGGCACTCACTAGGTGCTCTCCTCCCTTAACAGCTGGGAGTTGTTCTAGAGAAATGATTCACGATGACTAAGCTGACAGCATCA